GCATCGGTCCGCAGCAATTTCCCGCTGAAAATTACGCTTAAAATGGCCGCCGCGAGTAAAAATACATTTGCGGCGACAGAAACCAAAAAGATGGCCGCCATGGCACAAACTGCGCATGCGCGACCGCTAGGAAAGGGGAAAACGGTAAAATGAGCGATCGCGCATGCGCGGACCGTACAAAACCGCGGAATAGACCGCAGACATAAACGGTGAGCGGCTAAGGTCAGCCCTGCTGCATCACCAATAAAACTGAACGAGCAGGGAAAGAAAAGAGTAAAACACTTCTCAGAAGTACGGGCAGGAGGGAAAACCAGGGTCCCAGAGACCCCAATAGGCAGCACTCCCAGACACCAGCAGGAAATAAACCAGCAGTAACAGTGAGCATTAACATAGACTAAGCTAAAAATTCTTTCACAAAATACACATATATGTATGAAAATCACAGGAGTAGCAGGAGATGAAGTATTTAACTTGTCTGAGGGAGCAGCAAGAAAGAGGAGTCAAGGAACACCACACCCATATGGATAGTACTGGATGCTGATTGGTGCCACTGTTACCAGGCTGTTGTTATGTTTTTTCTATGATTCTCTCATACTTCCTTTTCTTGCTGCTGGGAGTATAATAAAGAATGAGAATGCATAATAGGAGCCTCCGTGTCTTTAATAAAATTATTATTATTGCCATTTATTTAGCGCCAACAGATTCTGTAGCGCATTACAATATTATGAGAGGGGGGATTTAACTATAAATAGGACAATTACAAGAAAACTTACAGGAACAATAGGTTGAAGAGAACCCTGCTCAAACGAGCTTACAGACTATAGCTTCTCATACAGGAACATTTCATTGGACCATTCTCATTGGCTCCGAGCACATGTGTGCGCTCTGAGCGGGGGAGTAAGGGAGAGGTTACTTACATTAAAGGACCACTATAGTGCCAGTCATTAAAAATAGTCTTTGTAAAATAACAGACACAATATATTTTATATCTCTTCAGTAGTTTCTTTTTTTTAAAATACCCGAACGATTTCCAGCAAAGAGTTCAACAAACCATTTTTAGTTTCCAGCACAATGGCTGTCACCCTTGGTGCCCTGTTGTGTATTTGTTACCCACCTCATCTAGACTGTAAGCTCGTTTGAGCAAGGTCCTCATCTACCTAATGTTCCGGCGTCACTGTGTAATTGTCTAATTTATTGTAAATTTACCCCCCTTTCATAATATTGTAAAGCGCTGCGGAATTAGTTGGCGCTATATAAATAATAATAATATATCTATACTGTTACTGTGAAAATTTGACCCTGATTGGCCGCTGACATTACATGCTTTCTTCAACCTTTATTTTTTTTTAATCAATAACTGAGGGTTAGAAAATTGCAATACAATTACAAGACAGCAGTTCCCACCGTGAAACACTGACAGATGATCTAGCGGTAAATCCAGCATAAAGGAACACTCAAAGAACCGTAACCAGCAAATAGGAGTGCCCTGGCTCTCCCCATTATAAGAAGTCAAACTATTTCAGAACAGTTTGACTTCTTACCTGGGGTCCGCTAGGCGCTGTCCCCTGCAGGTATCAAAGAAAATATTTATAATATTGTTTCAAACTGATTTATGGAAATACGTTTTCACTGACAGTGACACTCTGAGATATACATTCACTGGTAATTTCATTTGTTCAATGTATAGATTAACCTTTTCACATACTTGAAGTAGAAATGGTCACCTGCACAAAACCACTTTAATAAAAGGAAAGAAAGTACATTGTACATGGGATAGGGGTCTTTAACAGATTATTTCCATTTGTAATAATCAAATTTGTTGTGCTTTTAAAGTGAAACAAAACAAGTTTCCAATATTTAACACCACACTACCTTGTGATGTGAGGGTATTCAATTAGATTGCTGCCCCTAGTATAATCAACTGCAAGTCCACATCTGGGAAGCCTTCATTCCAATTACATAGATCAAAATGAATATCCATTTAGATGAACTTTTTTTTTTTGGCAATGAACTTTAATGCATGTATGTATAAGCACAATCACTCTTATCAACACAGACTGATCTATTTAAAGCAATAAACCAGTATAGTTATTATGATGAATGAAAAGCATGAAGTATATTGCACTCTTAAGAATCTCCAAAGTAATGAACAGGGATAATCATTGTAGTGTAGTTGCTTATTTATTGGGGAAAAAGAGAATAGCAATGCACAAAGCAGTAATAAAGTAAACGTACAAATATAATAAATCCAAATACAGGCTACTGCTAGACGTGAGACGCACACTTTCTTGCTTAGCAGTGTCTCCCCATTATTTATTTTGCCTGTATTTTAACTTATTTTCCTTGTACAATATTTTGTTTACTGCCTGGTGCATTTCTATTATCTTTTTCAACCAAAAAATAAGCAACTACAAGCAAGGATTTTTCCTATTCATTACATTATTTTTCATTCATTTTTTTTGTCCTCACAACATACACTGGAGAAGCATCAGTTTAGTAGTTTTACTTACCATGATGATCCCATCTAGGAGCAACTTCCCTTCTAGATGCATTGTTGTTTTTAAACTTTAAGGGTTATTCAAAGTACCACGACCATTTCAAATATTTAAAGTGGTCACAATGACTGTACTCTGTATGTGAAGCATTTTGCTGCACATACAGAGAGATTAGCCTTTTAGCTATTAGCCAGCCCAAAACAACATAGCAAAAAGCTAACGGTAGCACTTTCCCCCTTCACCTCGCAGTCCATCCACCCTGACCTCTACCAATGAGGTTTGGGTTGAGGGGAGAACTTGGACTTTAGCATTTCTTTTATGTATTTATTGTTTAAGTTCACATTGATGGAAACATTTATGGAGTTTAGAAGGGCATGTGAATGCACATTTACCCCTAATCAGATATTCATGTAGATGTGTTTTTATGGTAAGGAAGCATATAGGAACAGCTGGTTTGACAAACATTTTCTTCCAATGTTATAAGCGAACCTCAAAAGTAGATAAAAATAAATAAAAATACAGCGAGATTTTTCTACTTGATGCCTTACTATTTGCTTTGAATATCCCGATAGTGTATGAAAGAAACACTCAAAAATAATTTACGTCAAAATCTCTAGTGTGGTAACATTCCACACTTTGGTTCATGTTACCCTGAATGCTGGCTGAGGGTAAAGGAGGTTGTGATCCAACAACACCTGGAGTAGGAAAGTTTGTTCATCCCAAGTGAGCCTCACATGACATGTCCTTATCTGTGTCCTTGCAATGCAATGCTTCCCAACACCAGGAAAGACATATATCCATACAAGTATATCCATTACCGCCTGGCTGGTTTAGGCATGAGGAAGACTTTAACAGGTTTGCTAAGATGGATTGTGCCCTCTGTGCTGTTCTCAGTGGAAGGGATAGATTCTGTGCTGTCTCCCCATGGTGTGGGAGACCGACTGGACGCTTTGCTTCTGCTGGAGCTATAGGCGAGCAACAGTCTCACCTCAATCTGACAGGGTTCTGGTATAAGGAAGATAAATGGGACGACTTTAAGTTAATGTAAAACATTTGAAAATACAGAGCTATATGAATATATAGTCCTTATTCAGATACTGATCTATCCTACTAGTAACGACAACACATGTACAAGAGCTTTTCCTCTCAATTTCCTCACAAATTTCACCTGACACAAGAGATTTTATTTATCATAAAGTAGAGGAATAAAAGAGAGGAAAACTGGACAGATTAAGCATGCCAAAAAAAATAAAAATAATTAGCAACATCCCTAACAAAAAGGCCCAACGGACCCAATACCTAATCTAAAACATATAGCAAAATGACAAGCATGCAGATCAATTCTACTGAAGACTCATTTAAAGGACACTGTACTAATGGAGTCACCCTTAGCAGTGCTGTTTTTTCTGTAAGGACTCCTTGAGTTGGATTGGATTGTAGGGCTTACCCAGAGATCTGATATCGAAGGTGTGAACTTAGGGGGAACTATTAGGGTTTACACATCAAACAAAGACTTCCTTCTTCAGTGCCACAAAAAGACATCTGGATCTTGATCATGTTCCTCTTGGATAAGCAGAACAATTACTTTATTGTGCTGCCTGTTACATCTATCTTGCAGGCAAAACGTGAGGAAACTTTACTTAAGTTCCAAGTAGGAAAGGACTAGACTTCATGAACGGGACGCTGCAAACCCCCTAAAGGTGTTAGATGAGTGTCCCCTTTTTCCTACTTTATAAAATGGAAGATTTCAAGAAAAAGAAACACTGCTAGGTGTGGTATCCTGCACCTTTCACTGTGAGAAACGCTGGGCCCCCGGAAGGAGTCTCCCACATTTCTAATGTCTTATTTGGTGGCCAGATTTGCCACATTTATGCAGTTGGGAGTAGTCAGTTACGGTACATGTGGTGGAGTTTGCAAGGAAGGGTCATCCTGCATTGGGTCTTGAGGTTCGGCCTGGGCGGTTTGTTCCTCCGGTGCCGCCATTTTGCTTTTTGCGATCTCTTCCCCATTTTAAATGGCAGGGCCGCAGTTGTATCGCTGGGGTCAGACCTCTGTTTCAGGAGGCTCAGTGGAGAGAAAGGCCCTGTGAGCCACTCGTGGTCGTTCCGTGTGGTAGGCTGCGGGCCTCCGCTTCAGATGTTTTTGCCCGGGGTTGCTGCACTTTTTAAGGTGCATCATGGTAGCATTGATGTCACCTAGACAAGCCGAGGCAGTTGTTTTTTTCCCGGATCCACAGACCGGCTCCAACTACAGTGCAAAGAGATCGCACAGCGCCGCAAGGGACAGGTATTGTTCCACTATGTCTCTTACCTTCTATGCTGATCCCTCTGGTGGTACCCTGGCATGGATGTCGCTCTAACCTGCTCTGTGCTCTAAATGGCGGCAAATTGCGCAGTGAGACTGCAGGGGCCTGATCTATACACCAAAACTGCTTCCTTTAGCTTAAGTTGTTTTGGTTGACTATAGTGTTCCTTTATTAAGTTGTTCTGGTATTTAGAGTATATCTTTATATCGATCCAGCAGAGAGACAACCATATTCTAATACCTCTTTATGGACAACCTGTGTTAATTTCCACAGTATATTCCTTTTACTCACCCACTGCACATTCCTAACGAAGATCACTTTTAATGTTCACACAGTACATTCCTGCACTAATTTCATTAACCACTCCAGCTTTCTGCCCTATGTCTGATTTCTTTTTAAGTCATCTTTATTTCGCCCTTACCTGTCCATGCTGTATGTGAAAGATAAACCTGAGTTATTAGCCGGTGCCTGCCTTCGCCTGGATTCCGGAAATCAGATGGCTTAGGGTGGATAATCTGCATCTGCCCATCTGGATATACAACCTGAATGATAACATGAAATAATAAAGAAAAATTATTTAACAAACAAAGCTTTTCTAACGACAAACAATATCCCCAAAAGTAATGTGGGAGAATCCAGAAATGGGAGGCGGGTTCTTTGTTTAACTGATGAGCGACATTATCTAATGTATTCAATTTCATATTTGCCGAACTGGAATCCACATCTTAGTTATCCTGGTATACATCATATATTGTACCTGTACTTTCACTGTGCTCTGTGGTTCCTGTACGTGATTTAATGTGGCGTCAACATCTAGAGCCACAACCAGGCCGGAGGTGAAGCGAATTGGGTTATCAGACTCTGCTGCTGGCTCGATAATTTGGGCAGAAGCTTTGTGGATCTGGAAGGATAACAATGTTAGTATTAAAACAACACAAGAGCTACATTAGTGGCAACTTTTTATTACAATTCCCAAAGGTGTTAGCCAATAACGTTCAGAGGTGTGAATTGTGAAAAATAAACAAACAAACAAAAAAAAAAACGACTTGTCCCATGGACTAAAGTGATATCCCATGTTACCTGTTCTGACCCACAATACAATTTCATAGACTGGAGCTCCTGCCTGGAGCCCTGATCACATGGTCTCATTTTCTCCCCCAAAGTGTATGTCTAGAGTGTGTGTTTGGTGGCTTTGCGTCAGCTGCTTGCAGTGAGTGTGTGCTAGTGCATTGTGTTGTTGCTCGTCCTGTTTACCATTCCTTAAAAAAAAATTTAAAAAAAATCTTATGGTCCAGCAAGGGTGTGTTTGGTCTGCACCTCTAAAGGTACATACCACAGTAATCACTACTTCCCGTCCAAAGTACCTGGTGGATCCACTCCAACGCATTCACTAGGCACTGGGCTCACAAGGGAGCACTTAAAGCAGTGTGTACCTGCCGCAGGAGCAGAGCACATGCTTGGCTTTGCAAAGGGGGCATATGGGTGGGGGGCTGTTGCCCTACTAGCAACCCTGTCACTTTCCTGTGGAAAAGAATTCCTGTCTGGCATTACATGACCTACATGGCACTACATGACCCAGACATCAGGTGATACTAATTCCACACCCATGAACTTTAGACATGCCCTGTGCAAATACAACCTTATAATAATATAATAAGCATTGTGAGTTGAAATGAGTGCACGAAGGACATACAACAACTGTTGAGATAGTAAACAGTATTTCTGGTGACACTTCTATAAGTAAAATGTGGATGATCAGCTTCAGATATATTAACCCCTTAAGGACCAAACTTCAGGAATAAAAGAGAATCATGACATGTCACACATGTCATGTGTCCTTAAGGGGTTAAAATGTAATCTGCACATTGGCAAAACTGTAAGCAAATACTATAGATGGGTTATGTATAAAAATGAGTTCTCTAAAAAGTGGTCACCACGGGAACCAGCAGCCACCTTGAACTGGTGGTTCTGCCCCTTTTACATCTTTGCACCTCTTTTCAGAACACTTTTTATAGATAACTCCAGAGTTAAGTATATACTTAAAATTTTTTTCCTTCTTTCCCAATATGGCTGCCACATTAGATGAAAAATGCAGCATATAGATTTGTCATGTTTACCTGTGATCTGAATGGGCTAGATTTAAAGTCGAAATTGGATAAACGCATCGGAATTTATGCATTTGTTATCAGTTCATCTGGCTGATTTATTTGTATTAATGCACGCATTTTTCCTGATCAAACATGGCAGCATTTACTCATGGGTTAGCTCCTCCCCTTACAGCAGAAAGGACAGGAAATAGAACTCTGAAACTGGTATAAATAGATCATCCCCCCTTCCCATCAGGCAGTCTTTTTTCCTGTCCTGCACAGCAGTTTGGAAGGAGTCTGCTTATGCAGGCCTAGATTTGTTTCTTCTATGCTCACCAGGCAATATTTTTGTAGGGGTTCAGCCTCTAAGCCCTGAAGACCCAGCAAAGCACTATTGTAAGGTAGCCAGCCTGGGTACCACCTTTAGTAACCAGGGGTCGGACCCAACCTCTCCCTGAAAGGGATGAAAATGGTCCACTGCATGCCAGGGTTCAGCCTCTTATCCCTGAAGACCCAGCAACAGGCCAGCTTGGGTACCCCCTCAGTGGATGAATGTGATATACTGCCTACATGAAGCCAGGCCAGGGTTCAGCCTCTTATCCCTGAAGACCCAGCAAACAGCATATCGGTAAGAGTTGCCAGCCTGGGTACCTCCTTCAGCAACCAGGGGTCTGACCTATCTCTCTCCCTGAGGGGATGACAGCGGTCCACTGCATACATGAGGCCCAGCCGAGTCTAAGCCTTTATCCCTGAAGACCCAGTATACAGCACTTCCATAAGGTGACTACGTGTGCATGCCTCTTCTATGTTTTCCACCTTGTCTGGGGTTTGGTTTAAACCTTCTCCCACTTCTGATGACGAACGGCATATGGGGTACAGATGGAAGCCTATAGTTTAAACAGTTTAGGCTGTCAGTTGTTCAAATCCCCATTTTGCCGCTGAAACACAGGCCTGCAACTGTTCAGGTAAGTGCAATAGTAATTTAGATTAAAACTAGTATGGGCACCTGGGTCTCTGTTCTTTCAGTCCCTCCCAGCTGCTTACATTAGGCTTCCTTCTAACAAACAGGTCACATTTAGGAGGTTTGTGTGGTGAGCATTTAGGTAAGTTTTTACATGAAAGGATGCATAAAAATAGTGCTGATAATGCAAGGAGGCATGGTGCAAAAGAGTGCTAATAATGGATATCCTGGCTGTTTAAAGTCTGCTGGTATTCCACAGTCCTGAAGACAGAGAAATATCCAACGTAAGAGAACTTTCTTGGGTGACTGATTGAAGTACACACATGTATATGACAGGTTTTAAAAACTAGCTCTAAGTCCACACAGACACTGGTTTCTATGAAGGCATGTGGCATTGATTGCTGTTATCTGTGCATTATCACAAATAAGCAGGCTTTTGCACACAGTGGAAGAATATACTGCATATCAGACCACTGGGCCTCAATATCTGTACATGAACTGGTTTGTGGTACAGCATCAGTAGGTTTCCAATCTATGCTCTATGTATGAATTGGTATGAAGACTCCGTCTCAGTGTGTGTGTGTGTCCTGTATATGCTCTCAGTATAAGTATCAACTATATGCTCTATGTATGGTTGAATGCTCTTTGTATGAATTACTATGAGGACACAGCCAAAGTATATGTATCCACTACATTGTCTATGTAAGAGTTGGTTTGAAGACTCGGCCTCAGTGTGTGTTCTCTATATGCTCTGTATGTAAGTTGGAGACATTGCTTCAGTATATCTGTTCTCTATATGCTTGATGTATTAGTGGAAACACAATATATGTGAATGATATAAGACACATCCTCTATATACGAGTCCAATCTAATACAACCTGTGTGTGTGGGTTTCTGTTAGTCACAACCTCCGTATATGTGAGTGGTATAATCTGTGCATGGAGTTCTGTGAAAATACTTGTTGATTATATGCTTGGATTGGTGTTGATATCTATGCAGGTAAAACAAGCTGCAGACTGATCTTATTATAACCATAGGCTCTGCCATAAGTACTTCATCACTATCAGAAGATAAGGTCAGAGTAAGTATGCGGTTGTTGTTCTCATAAGGATAACTGAATATCTTCTACTACCCTGCTTATTATGTGTCTGTTGCCACAATGTATAATGTGCCTCTGGTTACTACTTTCACATTAGTCTCCTGCCTTTTATATAACTCCTACTTATATCGCACAACAGTCTCTAATCATTTTGATTTTACTGTTTGGTATAATCTGTACCATTTACAATCGGTTTATCTTTGAATGTAGGTACTGACGCGGTTGGCCTACATATAATTTAGTAGTTGCCACAAATTCTACGGTTCATACCGATGTTTCTTTTAACTAATCTGTATGATATGGTTCTTCTTGCCTTTGCCTAGTAATATCTATTTGTGTTATTAGTTTCTACCTCTCCTGTGACTGATCATTACTGTATCAATTCATTCACAGTGTGAGGTATGGTTGTGAGTCTGATTTTGCAATATATAGTCATTGTTGCAGTGTTTTAATAACAGACTCTTATTTCTCTACTAGGCTCTGCCTCTTTCTGACAGGCAGATATTGATTTATTTCCTGTATCTACAGGTAAGTAGTTCACAAGGCAAAATGAAGCAGTGTGAATTGTCTTTAATAAATCCATCCAGAAAGTAGTAGGATTCTCAGTGTAATTCTCCCCCTGTTTAATAGCATGGTGTGACCGTTCTCATCCAACATTATCTGCTTGTTCCAGTATGATCTCTGGAAGTTATGCCTTTGTCAAGGTTCTGATTTGATGATGCCATCTATTTGGTTTTTAATTTATATCAGAGAAGGACATTATCTTCTATTGTTGACATAATGAATCTATAATTTCTAGACCGTGTCTGGGTTTCATAGAGGTTTTCTAAAAATTTTTTTTTTTTTTTATCCATTACAAGATGGGTTCATTACGAGAGTTTGTCTAGCCTTGTTACTTCTCTAGGTTTGGCTATCATGGCCTTAATTCCTATCTGGCTCTATATTTCTTCAGGATAACCTATGAGTAAAAGCTGCCATGAATAATGATCAGGAAAAGAAAATTACGGTAAGTATGAAACAATTTTCCTTAATACATATACACACACGTAAAGAATCATTTGAAATCAAACCATTTTGCATGACAGTCACACATTAATAATAGAATCATTGCCACATTCCGTCTCTCCTTTTGGTGATTAGAGAAAGGACTTTACCTGCTCAGGAAGGGTTAGATGGAGGAAGCTGCTTTGTCGCAAAGTTGTCTGGAGAATTTTAACCATTTCTAGAGGTTTTGAGTTAACCAGTCTTGGCATGAGATCCAGCAGCTTATCCACAAAACTGTCCTGCATCTGAGGGAGCTCTGAAATAAAGCATCTGTAGGGAATAGGAAATAGACATTGTAAAACGCATACAATTAGCAGTGAACACATGAATACACCCACAAATTTGTAAGAGTACGAGCATCCCACCCCACCTTTTTCCTCCTCTTCCGTTTTGCTCTCTCACTAAAATAGTTAATAGAAAATAGAAGACATTACTATTGCGATTGATCATTTTTCCCTCTCACATTAGCATTCCTTAAATAATATTAAAAAGCATTATCAACAAAGTTTAACAGACGGACCCCACCCCACTCCTTAAGGATGATTTGTGGATTTATTTGTATAACACCAGCAGTTCAAGCAAATTATTTGGTTTAACAGCCGCCTGTTTCTGGGATTAAAATTCTAATGTCTCTTTTTGACAGTATGTATACTGATGAAACTTAACATAAATAATAAAAAAAAAAGGAAAAGGATCCAATAGCTTTTCTTCTGCATACATTTAAATACAAGCAAAACAAAACAGATCAGAAAATTCAACAACCTTTGAATAGAATCCACCTCTTGGAGGAATTGTTCACACATTCCAAACAGCGGTTCCACACTGACAGAGACAGAGAAAAAGTAAACAAAGGATACGTTAACACTATATAGAAATAACAAAGGCTTTCAATTTAACCTTTAAAAACATTTTTTTATTCTTGTTGACATAAAATGTTTAACTCCTGTTTTTCTAAAAAATAAATATACTCCTGAATTTTGTATTGCAGTCTATCCCTGGCAAGTGCTTCTTTTAGCCATTATCAATAAAGTTGACCTCTCTATTCACTCCCTATGGATTTATTCTCTAAACTTGATAGACGCTCAGGTATAGACATCCGATATCCCCAAAGACAGTCAAACCAGCACAGGACTGGTTTATTACTTAAACCTGAAATGTCAAGTTTATTTAAAAAAAAAAAAAAGCAAACTAGGAGTCAACTCTGTGATCTCCATACTAGAGTTACAAATAGTAACAAAGTAGATGAATTACGCTGTGGAGGTTACATCAGTTTCAAATAAAACAAATATAAACGGTTACAAATACCCACTAAACCACCTGGATATCTGAATTGACATTAACCGTGGCTGATAAAAGAAGGATGATAAAGGCTACTTCATCTCATTGAAGTGGTCTGGGAGCAGTGTCCCTGTTCCCTTAGCCCTACAGCTGAAAACACAGTGCTTTCATTGAAGGGTTCAGTCTGCCTCTAGTGGAGGTCTACAAGAGGTACTTTCTGCTGTTTCAGGATGTTTTAACGTTTCGATGTAGCATACCCCTTAGTAGTTCGGGCTGTCACTAGTAGCTGTAGAGCCTTTGCTTGTAGCCTCATGTGATGTATTATAGCCACCTGTCTGTTCTCAAGTCCACTGTACATAAACTCCATCTTGTAAGTTTCTTCCAAAATCTAAGAACAAAGTAGAGATGCTAATTAAACACTTCTTTTGAAAAGTGAAACTGTAATCCCCAACAACACATTTCAGTCAACATACATATGGTTTCCAAAAAATCTAAACAGACAAAGACATACAGTAGGAAATGGAACTCTGAATCCTGGAACATAACTTTGTCACTACGCCGACGCACCCACAATAGCTACCGAGATATGAAAATGAACCAGCAAGTGTTGATTCCTATCATTCTCCCAACTCTGGGGGTCATAATGACTAAATTCTAAGAACTTTAAGAATTAAAAGGGAAGAAGTCATGCAATTAATCCAGCCTATCTAAATGATGCTAAGCCACTGCAGAGCAGCTTGTTCTATAATCATGGTCTTTGTGTAATCGTTACTCTGTGTTTATGCCATTCCTGTGAGCCTGTGTGTTTTTTTCTGGGTATAAACCTTAGCTACATCTACTGGCTTTAGGATTGAACTCTGCTTGCCCTTTTTGCATTCAAAATGTTTTCCCTTGTCATGTATCGCTTTCCCTCAATGTAACTTTCTCTCTCTTTTTCTCACTCGGTGTCATCCCCCACTGTCTCCACTCTGGTGCCACTTTTTCCTCAGTATAACTTTCTCCTTTATCTCTCTCTGTCACCGTCTTTGTGTTGCTTTACCTCAATGGCTTTGTACATCATTCCTTCTCTCTAAGTCACTCTTTCCTTGTCTGTCAGGATGATTCTCCCTTTTGTCATTGTTATAGTGTAGCAAATTCTACAATGTGTGAAACGCTTTATATTACCAGCATGCACCTAACTTCTTCCTGACGGGCAGCTCACACTGCTTTATATTACCAGCATGCACCTAACTTCTTCGTGACAGGCAGCTCACATTGCTTGTTTTTAATACTTTATCACAGGTCTTAAAACTGGGATAGACAAAAGGGGCTGGATTTTATCACTAGGGATATGTTTATGTCTGCTAGCAGAATGGCAGGTTTCCCATAGGATGCAAAAGTAAAATAGCTATGTAATTACTACAAATTAACTTATCTCTAGTAATAGAATCAAGAACCTGAAGATTACTGGGTTTATCCACAAAATAATGATTATTTATAAACTTTTACTGAATAGTCGAAAGGAGGGTTTTTGTTTTTTTTGTTTGTTTTTTTAGACTGTGCTACTTAGACTACCAAGCTATTGCCGTTTGACACACTAATTCTTAATTTACCTGTTTCACTGCAGCAGCTGTCACAGAATTCTGACTGACATAGAGAGGAGCTGCAAGACTCCACAGCTTTTCATGCAAGGCCTGAAAATAGAACACAAATAGATTTGTCACAGCTGATGCTTGCAATGTTTTTAAATAAAGCAGCAGAAATGGGAAAACAGACACACAGGATTTCAGCTTACTAGAAATACCATTTGTTTAGTGCATGTGAATAATGTTGCCTGGTCTCTGTCTAGAGAGGCTGTCTTGTCCAAATGAGCAGGTCCTTTTTATAACTGACATAACTTTGCATTTTTAGCAGAGAAGAAAATAAACATTTATAATACAGCATGTTAATACAGGGATTGATTGCAATTGACACCAGATAGTTGTTTTTCTCCTTTTTGAGGTAAAACTAGAAGAATATTTTAAGGTGGGGGGATGGGAGAGGGGTTGCTTTTTTTTTTAATTTTAGCTCATAAGCTGCAAAAGACTTTAGCTTATTTTGCTTTGTTTTTGTTGCATATCCACTCCAGAGTACAAGTCAGTATACGCATGACAAATATACTTTAAAGATGGCTACTCCCACAAGCAACATTGGACTCTTTCACTTTCCTAATTCACTGAAAATACAATGAAAACCAAACCTTGATCAGCAGTAAGTGGCAACGCAGATAAGTAGCAGAGAAATCTGCCATTCCCGCAAGCTCGTACTGAAGCTCTCCGATTCTCTGCAGATCACTAAGGAAAGAAAAAACAACATGCTTTTTAATCTTACAAAAAACACTCCAGGCTCCATAAGCACTACAACTCCATTGTAAAGAATCATTATAACAGATATAAATACTGCAGGACAGTGATGGACAATCTTTTGCACAGCAGTGTTATTGTATTAACAACCCCCCCTCCCAAAATGAGTATTTCATACAGATACAATCACTGAAATTTCATCCTAGGCAAAAGATATACTAAAGCAAAGTAGGGAAAAGGCTCTGTCTATGGAGAGTCCTGCGATCTTGTAGGATCCTCCATGTACTCATGCATGCGCATGCTGAATCTCCAGGAGTTAAAGAGGACCTGACAAAAGAACATGGTTATTCCAGCGAGGCAAAGGTTTAGGTAAGTATAATTCCTCTTCCCCGCATCCCTGGACACTCAGCGACGATGCCACCATCAACAAATTATGCAAAGAGCCCAAGTGGTGATGTTTAGCTACAATGCCAAAAGGTTAGCCTTCACTGCCCTACAATATATAAATCAGTGCGTGTAACACCTATTTCATTAATCTTACTTTTTATGGTTTTCATAAATGTATCAAGCAAATGGAATGCAGTGGAAGTTGAATGAAGTTACAAGGAGCTGGCATGGTACTGGAAGTATATGCACCTTGAAGATATTTATGACAAGACAGATACAATTGTGATTTTATTTACCGAATGGTGAATTCGAGCAGTTCCTGTGTCCCCTGTGAACCAAGGTGCTGAAGGTTATGGACTCTCTCCAGGCTGTGTTGCAGGAACTGCTGTGAGGGGTCTTCATGAGGGGCCTCTCTTTCCAAATCTGGAATCCATGACCACTTCACACCCGGCAACTGAGGATAAGAAGATTAAAATAAATAAATCTTAACAGTCAGGAGAAACCATGTTTAAACATAGACGGATAATAGATTTCTTGTAGTGGGAACAAACTTAGCCGGCTTCAGACTCTTCTATAGTTAGAATAGCTGTAGTTGACATATTAATCTGTAAGCTGGCATGCAGAAGACAAGTTTGAATGCCAACAGCATCCACACTTGTCCGCAAGGTAACATTGGGATGTGTTAGCTCATCATAACAACAAACATACTTGAATGAGAACAGATTAATCTACAGTGAAGAGTAACCATTATTTTAGTTTTTAAAAGGGAATTAATACATTAGAGGTAATGTCGCCTATGACAGTGCTACCCATGGACCTGCACTATAGGGAAGCACATTTTGAGACCTATTCTGACACAACATATTTTATTAATGTAATTCATTAAGGATCCAGTATTTAATACACAAATTATATTTATCAAATATTTTACCAGGAAGGATACATTGAGATTTATCTAATTTTCAGGTATGTCCTGGGTTCACAAAACATTGCATTGATACAATAGGGTACAATAAAATACAAAAACAATATTAATACGAAATATATACAAAATTTAACATAGAACAGATAGGAAATATATAATCAACCATGACAGGTGCATTCTGTTTTGAGATATGTAGAGAGGGATCTCTTAAAGTATTTTAGGCTTGTGGAAGATTTGAAAGTGTGTGGGAGGTCGTTCCATAATTGCGGTGCTCTGTAGGAAAAGGAGGATCGAGCCGCTTTCTTTTTGTGTGTGTATGTATATATATATATATATATATATAAAATGTTTGATAGAGAAACATTATGGAAACTAAGCACATTTGGTACATACATAGATATAGATATTGGTAATATATATACACACATAACCTGCAGAAGAGATAGGATTGTAGTGACTTAGTGCAAGCCAAAATATATATTCTAGTCCCAGCTCATGAAATTAACTTCAAAGCTCTATTCACCATTTAGAGCATATCAAATCTACATTACCTAAATGTGCAGAATGATGTACCCTTGGGTATCACCCTATAGTCAGTCTCTTTTCTGGCAGCAAATCCCCAAAATGATTATTTTTTAAACTTACACTGAGAGCTGGCACAAGGTGGGAAAGGCTGTCCCGCAGATAGGCGTAATGGCGAAAGGTGTGATCAGAAAACAATGCTGGCATCGTGGGACAGATCTTGGCAGCATTAAATATCAAAACCAAAACAGCAATATCTGATTAGCAAAGTTAAAGTTCACATACAGCAATGTTTATGTAACAGGTGTCAAAAATGATGAAGACTGCATACTGAGGTTGACAAATACCAATACCTTCCTTACATCAAACACTCAGCAGGTTAAAAGTAATATTTATACTTTTGAGAAATCTTTTATCACGTGCATTTTACATGGGGTGTTCTGTTTACATTCTACATTCTGCCAATCTTATGCAGTTTTTGGAACAAGTCTTACTTCATGGCAAATAAAGTAAAAAAATAAATAAAACACACACTGCAGAAGACAGGCACCTGATCATTCTCTAGGAAAGGTATTACTGAGAGCGTTGCTAAAACAAATTTAGGGACACGCAATGGTGCAAAAGTACAAGTGAGCAAAGATATTCCTTTCTCTGTCTCTCTGTCCCTTACCATAGACGACAGGTACAAAACTATGGCTACTCCCCATCCTTAGTAAAATGCTTTAGACTTTAGTCACCAGAACAACTACAGCTTATTGCATTTGTTCTGGTGAGTATAATAATTCCCTTCAAGCTTTTTGCAGTAAACACTGTATTTTCAGAGAAAATGCAGTGTTTACATTACAGCCTAGTGATAATTCCATTGGACACTCCTCAGATGACTGCTGGTGGGGCTTCCTGGGGACAGTCAGTGTCTCCAACCTCTGCATGTAGACACTGAACTTTCCTCATAAAAATGCATCTCTATGAGGAGATGCTGATTGGCCAGGGCTGTGTCCTCCTTAACTTCTGATGAGATCAGCCAAGTAGTTTTAACACAGTAGGGTCAGTAATACATGTTTGTGTTCCTGACCCTATAGTGTTCCTTTAAATGAACACTTCAGTTAAGAAGTCTAAAAATGAATACATTGCATAATCACACAAACACAATACAATTACAGCCTCTAATTGCCCCAATGTGAATTCATTAGATAAGTGAGGAGTCTGCATATTTATCAGTACAAAACTATTTTTGTCTCACTTATACCGTATATACTCGTGTATAAGTCGATCTCGTGTATAAGTCGAGTGCTGTTTTGTGACCAACAATTAAGAAATATGCTATGACTCGTGGATAAGTCGAGGGTAAAACTTGGGGCTATGAAATTCTGTGATTTTTTTTTTTTTATATATAATTTTGTCAGATTTTACCTAAGATCCTGGAACAATCAAACATGTCAGTTAAAAACTGGATTTAAAAAAAATCAGCAATCATGAACATGAACATTTAATTTATTAACTGTAACGAATTCCTTAAACTTATTACAGGGAATTTTTAGTTATGCCCTCCAAAATAGCACAAACATTGTTTGGCCTATACAAATCCTTCAAACTCTGACTCATCATCGTCAGAATGTCCGAATAAGTCACGATATTGTTCTTCGGTGATGCCATCAGCATAAACGTCGTCTTCGCTGTCGTCATCTGTTGAATTGGCATATGAAGCCGATTCATCTTTCTCTTCATAGATGGCGTCGTCCTCTGATCCATCCATAGCGTTACTAATTCCGCATTTCAGGAACGACTTCTTGATCATTTCTGGTGATATTGAATCCCAAGCATCCTTTACCCATTTTGATATCAAATCAATGTCTGGTTTCTTCAAGTTTCCTCCTTTCGTTAACTTTGCTTGACCAGAACACATCCATTGTTGCCACATATTGCGTATTCGGTCCTTGAAAGGCTTGTTGAGACAGACATCCAGTGGCTGGAGCATTGATGTTAGGCCGCCTGGAATCACTGCTAACGTGGTTGCCATTTTTTTTGCTTCATCCTTCACATCCTCTGTTATATGCGCACGGAACATATCCCACACCAATAACGACGGACATTTTCTTAGCGCTGCGCCTGGTCGCCTGCCCCACACATTGCGCAGCCACAACTTTGTACCCTCCTCATCCATCCAGCCTTTAGGGTGAACACGAACAGTTACTCCTGCCGGAATTTTTAAATTCTTTGGCATTGTTTTCCTCTTGAATATTATTACCGGGCGCAGTTTAGTGCCATCTGCCAGGCAAGACAGTACAACAGTGAAATGTGACTTTTCATGACCGGTTGTTTTTATAAGTACAGTTTTTTCTCCAACGCTTTCTACAGTTCGATTGCCAGGCATATCAAATGTCATCGGAGTTTCATCCATATTACCAATGTTATTCAGAGCGAAACCATTCTTTTTTCTCTGTTTGATAATGATTTTGTGGAATGACATGACCTTTTCGTCCAGCTCTTTAGGCAGCTTCTGAGCGATCTTTGTTCGCTGACGAAGACACAATCCATATAGGTTCATGAATCGTGTGCACCAACCAGACGATGCTCTAAATTTTGTCATACCTTCAGTCGCCAAATATTTTTCTTTTGCTATCTGAAGTGCTCGTCTTCGAATGCTCGAGCGAGTCACAACATATCCATTTTGTCTACATTCCATTATCCAGTCATTTAAATCCTTTTCCATTCCATCAAAAGGTGTAGCTTTGAAACGTAATGCTTTCTTCAACTTCGGCATGGCTTGCAATTTAGCCTCATTTTTCCTCCAATCTCTTACGAGTTTTTCGCTGATGCTAAACTCTCTTGCAGCTACACTATTATTGGCTTCTTTTGCACGTTCAATAACTTTCAATTTAAGTGCAGCAGTGTAAGAAGCTCTTGTTTTCTTTGCAAAACTCATTTTTCTGAAGATAAGAATTTACCGAAAATATTCTGTTATTAATGTACCGTAATCTTAATCATTTGACAACAAACAAGAGTAAATAGACAATCAAGTTCCCTTATATGGTGTACCAGTATGTTTCTTTCTCCCCCTCACTGCTCCTATGTGTCCATTTCTCCCCTTTTCTTCCCAGTCTCTATCTTCCGCCTCTGTCTCTTTTTCCCTCCCCCTGTGTCTCTCTCTTGCACATGTTTCATTATCCCCTATCCCCTGTGTGTCTCTCTTCCCCTCCCTTTTGTGTGTCTCTATGTCTCCTTCTCCCCCTCCCCTTGTGTCTCTCTATTCCCTTTCTCCCAAGGCTGACCTTGCACGTGAGAGACTGGAAATATAACACAAATATCTCTCTATCATGCTCCCTCGTGGTACCCACAATTCCCAGCATGGACACATCACGGAGTAAACACTACTCTATGATGTGGCTATGCTGTGCATTGTGGGAGCCGCGAGGGAGCATCATTCGGTAGTTTTGTCTGCTCCCTCCTTCAGTTCGTGCTTTCTGACAGCTGCCCTGACAGTGTTTAAGCCCATAGTGTGCAGGGCAGCATAGTACGCCTTAACTATGGGCCAGGGACCCTACACTATAAGGCCAGGAATACATTTGTGTTCCTGACCTTATACTGTTCCTTTAATATATAGCGTATATAGTGTATCCTTTAATATATAGTGTGTATATAGTGTATATATTACACTGGCCCCCTTTTGCTTAGGGGGCAAGAGGGGGCCAGGGACCCTACACTATAAGGCCATGAATACATTTGTGTTCCTGACCTTATACTGTTCCTTTAATATATAGCGTATATAGTGTATCCTTTAATATATAGTGTGTATATAGTGTATATATTACACTGGCCCCCTTTTGCTTAGGGGGCAAGAGGGGGCCAGGGACCCTACACTATAAGGCCAGCAATACATTTGTGTTCCTGACCTTATACTGTTCCTTTAATATATGGCGTATATAGTGTATCCTTTAATATATAGTGTATATATTACACTGGCCCCCTCTTGCTTAGGGGGCAAGAGGGGGTCAGGGACCCTACACTATAAGGCCAGGAATACATTTGTGTTCCTGACCCTATACTGTTCCTTTAATATATACACACACGCACTCACTGGCTCATACACAAATGCACTCATTGACTCTTGACACACACATTCACTGACAGAAAAACATACCATACACACACTGACAGAAACACACACACTGACAGAAACACTCACACTCACTAACAGAAACACACTCACTGACAGAAACACTCACTGACAGAAACACACTCATTCACTGACAGAAACACACACGTTCACTGACAAACATACACACAGACACAAACACACACACACTCACTGACACAAACACATACACACATTCACTGACAGAAACACATACCGTACACACACATTGACAGAAACACTCACTGACAGAAACACGCACGTTCACTGACAGAAACACTCACGTTCACTGACAGAAACACTCACGTTCACTGACAGAAACACATACCGTATACACACACATTCACTGACAGAAACACATACCGTACACACACAGACACAAACACTCACATTCACTGACAGAAACACACACATTCACTGACACAAACACATACACATACACACATTTACTGACAGAAACACATACACACATTCACTGACAGAAACACATACCGTACACACACACACACACAAACACTCACGTTCACTGACAGAAACACACACACGTTCACTGACAGAAACACATACACACACATTCACTGACAGAAACACATACCGTACACACACACAAACACTCACGTTCACTGACAGAAACACTCACGTTCACTGACAGAAACACACACATTCACTGACACAAACACATACACACACATTCACTGACAGAAACACTCACATTCACTGACAGAAACACTCACGTTCACTGACAGAAACACTCACATTCACTGACAGAAACACTCACGTTCACTGACAGAAACACTCACGTTCACTGACAGAAACACATACACACATTCACTGACAGAAACACATACCGTACACACACACACACAAACACTCACGTTCACTGACAGAAACACTCACGTTCACTGACAGAAACACTCACGTTCACTGACACAAACACATACACACACATTCACTGACAGAAACACATACCGTACACACACAGACACAAACACTCACGTTCACTGACAGAAACACTCACGTTCACTGACAGAAACACTCACGTTCACTGACAGAAACACACACATTCACTGACACAAACACATACACACATGTTACGGTACCTCCAGTAATGAAATGTACAAACCGCCGTTTAGCGAGTATTCCCCGTTCGCAATAATGTGGTCGGGTAGCGGGTATAGTAAAACCATGCGAACCGCCAGCCAGGGAACACTCCAAACTCCCGAACGGTACCTGTATGGCTAATTCCCTTCACGAGCTGCAAATCCACGAACGGCAAATAGTAACCGAACGTCAATATCTCCCAAGCGGCAAATAATCCAAATAAGCAGTCTCTAGTCGCTGGTAACCAAATCCCCCCAATAACGAGACCAAGCTCCGCTTTGAGGGTAAAACACGAACTGATTTACTGTGGGCTACCTGCCCGGTATTTATTCAGGTCTCCCACTTGGTGGACATTCCTCTAGGGGACCAAATGGGAGACTGAAATCACAGAAGGACATGGGGACATTTTGGACATACATCCCCACAATACTCCCAGCATGCAGTACAGTTCCCTCCCCTCTGCTCGGGGGATAATTGGAAGTAACTCAATTATCTCCCTGAGCAGAGGCAATCGCCATTTTAAACACAAGTCACAAAAACACATGAAAATCCATAACTTCATAACTGCCGAACATATTACATTCGTATTGCATATCCCCAGATAGCCTGGATCTGAGGGCACATTATTGAAGAATAGCGCTCAGATCCCATTCGCACAGTTCAATCGCCATGGAGTCAAAGTCTCTTTTAGTTCTTCGGTATGCGATTGACTCCATGGGACGGCTATCTGGGTTAAGTCCATTCGTGTGGTTGAATCTCCCGAACGGCTGGCATTCGTATACTTTTGTCGATTGAGAAGGGGAGGTCGACGGCTTCAGCGGTGTTCGGCTGAAAAAGTGTCCGTTTTCAGATCCATGAAATAATCGAACACCGCTGGTCGTTCGCATGGACAAGATGGCCGCCGCCTCGTGGTCGACATACGAACGACGACCACCCGGCATTCGGTTTTAATTGAGAAGTGTCTGTGGTTAACCGCAACGTTCTAATTGGGATCAATAGGTTAACCAGCAGCACACTTCTCTTCTGGGTGGCCGTCCGTTTGGTAGTTCCGTTCGACAAAACCGACATTCCCTTGAATAAAGCATACGAATGGGGAAATTCATGTAACCGGCAAAACAGGCGAACAAAGCAGTTGTAATCCAGACAGATGGATCTGTCACAACACACATTCACTGACAGAAACACATACCGTACACACACAGACACAAACACTCACGTTCACTGACAGAAACACATACACACACATTCACTGACAGAAACACATACCGTACACACACACAAACACTCACGTTCACTGACAGAAACACTCACATTCACTGACAGAAACACTCACGTTCACTGACAGAAACACTCACATTCACTGACAGAAACACTCACGTTCACTGACAGAAACACTCACATTCACTGACAGAAACACTCACATTCACTGACAGAAACACATACACACATTGACTGACAGAAACACATACCGTACACACACACACAAACACTCACGTTCACTGACAGAAACACTCACGTTCACTGACAGAAACACACACATTCACTGACAGAAACACACACATTTACTGACAGAAACACATACCGTACACACACAGACACAAACACTCACGTTCACTGACAGAAACACATACACACATTCACTGACAGAAACACATACTGTACACACACACACAAACACTCACGTTCACTGACAGAAACACTCACGTTCACTGACACAAACACACACATTCACTGACACAAACACACACATTCACTGACAAACACACACATTCACTGTCAAACACACACATTCACTGACAGAAACACATACCGTACACACACAGACACAAACACTCACGTTCACTGACAGAAACACTCACGTTCACTGACAGAAACACACACATTCACTGACACAAACACATACAAACACATTCACTGACAGAAACACATACCGTACACACACACACACAGACACAAACACTCACGTACACTGACAAAACACTCACGTTCACTGACAGAAGCACACACGTTCACTGACAGAAGCACACACGTTCATTGACACAAACACATACACACACTCACAGACAGAAACACATACCGTACACTGACAGAAACACTCACGTTCACTGACAGAAACACTCACATTCACTGACAGAAACACATACCGTACACTCACTGGCAGAAACACACACTGACAGAAACATACACACAGACACACACACATTCATTGACAAACACACACTGACAAACAAACATACACACTGACAGAAACTCACTAGATTATAAACACTTTTGCTCTACTTCAAACACTTGGCTGCTGGGATATGATGTAATGTATCCCAGCAGCCCTTAACATAATGTGAGCTGATTGGCCCATCTGGAGGGGTGAGCTGATTGGCCCATCTGGACGGGTGAGCTGATTGGCCCATCTGGACGGGTGAGCTGATTGGCCCATCTGGACGGGTGAGCTGATTTGGCCCATCTGGAGGGGTGAGCTGATTTGGCCCATCTGGAGGGGTGAGCTGATTTGGCCCATCTGGAGGGGTGAGCTGATTTGGCCCATCTGGAGGGGTAAGAGAAAGTGACCGGCGGGAGAGTGGTTTTATGTGCTCCCGCCGGTCCCACAGCCCCCTCCCTCTCACTACCCTGATTATGCCGCCGCAGCCGCTGCAGCCACCCTCCTTCTTCATGCTTTCACTGTCAGAAAGCATGAAAGTAAGTATGCCACCGGACCGGCTAGGCGGCCGCCCGGTCCGGCGGCACCACTATGATGCGGCTATTCCCCCCTCACACCCGTGTATAAGTCGAGCCTGCAATATAACATTAATTTTGCAGGTAAAATTTCTTGACTTATACACGGGTATATACGGTATTCAGCCACAGAGCGCCTCCCTTGATGTAAATGAAGGTGAGTGGCTTCTGCTGTAGCACCGGATTGGGATCATCAAAAACTAGGCACATGGCCTCAAGAAAGTCTTTTAAATTTCCCAAGACTGGACTGTCCTGTTCCAGAAAAGGGGAGGCCCAGGCCAGGGCTTCATCTTTGAAGATGGAGAAAATAAATCCCACCTTCTCTCTTTCAGATGGAAAACGGTTAGGTAACATCATGTAATGCAAACGGCATTGATTTAGGAAACCCCTAAATTTTTTGCTGTCTCCTTCAAATTTTTCTGGTAGAGGCAAGCGGGCATCTTGTGCAGGTGTAACAGTAGTAGTAGCAGCAGCCGCAACATCATGTGACCTGTAGCTGGTAAGCTCACTATTGATCGAACTTCATTTTGCAGTTCAGCTACCTGATCCTGCAGCACTTGAATGGTCTGTGCCTGGGTCTGCATAATTCTTGCATTAAAAGCAACCTGCTGGGCCAATGCAGAATCTGATCCGACGGTCTCCATGAATGTGCCAGATTATTCTGTAATGATATTGTTACAAAGTTTTGGAGTCCAGTAGCCAGATCAGCAATTTTTTCTGCCAGAGGTAGCCACTCGTTACCCAGGTGGTTGAGCCCCTGAGCCTTGAGTGGCCTTCTGGTCTTAAGCAGAGATGGGAGACTGGAACAGAAAGATGATAATCGTAGTGAGGCAAGCCGAGGTCAGTGGGAAGGAGAAGCAGCAAAGTCAAAACAGTCCAAATTCAGCAACAGGAAGGAGAAACAGGAACACGCTTGATTAGAGAGTACAGGAACCACAATAATCTGGCAAAGGTACAGAGACAGGAAATGGCTTTTATAGGCCAAGAACCAGACACCTGACCAGACACAGCTGAAGAGAGTTGTCACTGATAACCTTGACTCTACAACCAATGGTATCAGATCAAAAGCCGCAGACAGGTCAAGGAGAATTAGGATAGAGTAGTGACCATGAGATTTTGCAGCGAGTAGATCATTGGATACTTTGGTCAGTGCAGTTTCCACAGAGTGCTTAGCGCGGAAACCAGACTGAAACGGGTCTAGCAGAGAGTTGGACTCGAGGAAGTCTGTCAATCTCGCATTCACAATTCTTTCAAGGATCTTGGATGCAAAAGGCAGTAGCGAGATAGGACGATAGTTGGATGGGGAGTTAGGGTCAAGATTGGGCTTCTTTAGAATTGGATTCACAGTTGCATATTTGAAGGGCGATGGAAATATACCAGAGGAGAGAGAGAGAGATTGAGAATTTTAGTGAAAGGGGGTAGAAAGAGAAGAAGACAGTACAGATGAGATGCGAGGGAATTGGATCTTGGGAGCAGGTGGTGGGGCGGGAGGACTGGAGCAGAGCAGAAACCTTTTCCATTGTAGCGGGTGCGAATGAACGCAGACGGAGTGAAATTAGGGGAAGTATTGTAAGGGGAAGAAGAAAGATGAGAGATCTCTTCTCTGATTGTAGAGATCTTGTCAGTGAAGTGAGTTGCAAAGTCTGAGGCGGTCAAGTTAGTAGGTGGAGGAGGAACAGCAGGGCGAAGAAGAGAGTTAAATGTGTGAAATAGTCGTTTGGGTTCGCGGGAGAGTGTGGTTATGAGGGTATTGAAGTAATTAACTTTTGCAGAGGAAAGAGCCAAGCTGTATGAGCTCAGCATAAATTTATAGTGGAGAAAGTCAGATGCACAGTGAGACTTTCTTCCAACAGCGTTCAGCAGTTCTGGAGCATTTTTGGAGGTATCGAGTGAGCTTGGTGTGCCAGGGTTGTTGTTGGGCGCGCCTGCAGCGTTTAACTGTACAAGGTGCCATGATGTCTAGTTGAGAGGAGAGGGTGGAATTGTAGAAGGAGGTTGCAGAACTAGGACAGGTGAGGTTTGAGATAGGTAAAATTAGAGTGATGTTCAGACGGTGGTGTCAATTGGGTCTTAGGTATGCCAATGTCAAAAGTAAGCAGATGGTGGTCAGATAGAGGAAAAGGAATATTGGAGAGATTAGAGGCAGTACAGAGGTTGGTGAAGGCAAGATCAAGAATGTTTCCCGCTGTATGGGTTGCTAAATTGGACATTGCGTAAGGCCAAAGGAGGAGGTTACACAGAGCAGACGAGAGGCATCAGTGCAATTGGGGTTGTTGATTGGGATATTGAAATCCCCAAGTATAAGGGAAGGAGTGCTAGATGAGAGGAAGTGGGGAAGCCAGGAAGAAAAGTGCTCAATGAATATTCTAGGATAACCGGGGGACGGTAGATGATAGCAATCCTTAAAGGAGTGGGTTTAAATAGGCGGACAGTGTGAACTTGAAAAGAAGAAAAGTATAGGGCAGGGGGAGTTATGATTGGTTGAAAGGTACATTGAGGGGAGCGAAGGATGCCTATGCCACCTCCTTTACAGTTGAGTCTGAGAGTGTGAGAGAATTGTAGCCCACCAAAACATAAAGAGCCAGGAGTAGCGCTATCAGAGGGGGACAGCCAGGTCTCTGTAAGTGCAAGCAGTGTGAGGGAGTTTGAGATGAAAAAGTTGTGTATGGTTATTGATTTTAAATTACTGCAGATGGAGCAGGCATTCCAGAGTGCACAATGAATTTTGGTAAGTGAGGGTAAAGGGCAGGGTATTGCGATGAGGTTTGTGGGGTTTCTGGTTGTCTTAGTGTCTGTAGAGAAGGTGAAGGGCCCTGGATTGGGAGAGACATCACCAGCTGCTAAAAGTAGGAGGAGAGAAAGTGACAGGAGGTGTGAATGGGTTTTGTATGCATTGTATGAGATCGATTGTGGGTCGGAGTGAGAGAGAGGAAAAATGAGTGTAAGGCATGAGATGAGAGAAGGGGGGAGTGTAGCAGAGAGGGGCAGATGTAAATGTGGATGGGGGAATGAGTGAAGTGGGTGTAAGGAGAGATTTTTATACTGAGGGAGACTGAGGAAATAAAAAGGAGGAGAAAACAGATCATTGCTAAACTGTGAAAAATAAAAATTGGAAATAATTGGAATATCAAGAGTAGGGAAAATATTATGTTTTATGGGTAAAGAAAGTGCAGAAGTGTACTAATAAGAGGCAGTTTTTTTAGTTTTTTTTAACCTAACTAAAATGTGGGTGTGACAGACAATCTATAAATGTAATAATGAGCATGGGTTGGGACAGTGGCAGATCCAGAGCCTGATATCGGGAGGGGCACTTGTAGATTATTTAAATAAATAATCCAGGCACAATAAGCTCAGTGTAGTAGTTAGAAGTGTGTGAGCGGTGAAGTGTATGGGGACAGTGTTTGTGGGGCAGTGTGTGTAGTGTGTATAGGGGGCAGTGTGTGTATGGGGGCAGTGTTTGTGGGGCAGTGTGTATGGGGACAGTGTTTGTGGGGCAGTGTGTGTATGGGGACAGTGATTGTGGGGCAGTGTGTGTATGGGGGCAGTGTGTGTATGAGGACAATGTTTGTGGACCAGTGTGTGTATGGGGACAGTGTTTGTGGCGCAGTGTGTGTAGGGGACAGTGTTTGTGGCGCAGTGTGTGTATGGGGACAGTGTTTGTATGGGGGGGAGGAGGGTAGGGAGGCTTTTTAATAATAATGGGCTTCCAAAGTTGGGGAATCAGGCTTTGCAGATGATCAGGCTTGCTCACTGAAGTAATGGGTTTGCAAAGTTGGGGAATGAGGCTTTGCAGATGATCAGGCTAGCTCACTGAAGGAATGGGCTTGCAAAGTTGGGGAATCAGGCTTTGCAGACGATCAGGCTTGCTCACTGAAGTAATGGGCTTGCACAGTTGGGGAATCAGGCTTTGCAGATGATCAGGCTTGCTCACTGAAGGAATGGGCTTGCAAAGTTGGGGAATCAGGCTTTGCAGACGATCAGGCTTGCTCACTGAAGTAATGGGCTTGCAAAGTTGGGGAATCAGGCTTTTCAAACCATCAGGCTTGCTCACTGAAGTAATGGGCTTGCAAAGTTGGGGAATCAGGCTTTGCAGACGATCAGGTGTGTATGTTGGTGTTATCTTTGATCTGTATATATGTCATGTGTGTGTATGTGTTGTATCTGTGTGTGCATGTGTTATCTGTGTGTCTGTGTTATCTCTGTGTGTCTTCGTTATCTCTTTGTTTATGTGTTTTGCTATATGTGTAAAATACCCTTACCTCTTGTGTTTCTATACCTCACCCTCTCTAGCATTTAAGCTCATTGAGCAGGGCCCTCAACTCCTCTGTTCCTGTGCATCCAACTCGTCAGGTTACAAATGAATGTCTGTTAGTCCTTCCATTGTACAGCCCTGCAGAATTTATTGGTACTCTATAAATAATAATAAGATTATTATAAATAATCTTCAGTGGAACATTCCTAGACAATCTGTTGATAATATAATTTTAAAAATTGCTGTTTTGATTATCAGAATATGAGTAAGACTTATTATCTGCTAATATTGTCTTTGGTACACGGTTTTTAAGCAGTGGAGAATTAGTCACAGTGTCATTAGACCAGTCATTTACTTTGTATAGTTGGAAAACAAATGATTAACATACCAAGCAAAATGTCACATTTGCAAGCAATACTTGTTAGGGCTGTCCCAGTTGGCTGATTGTTTTCTATATAATCTGTTGCATATGCTGTGCAAGCATTGGTAGTAGTAAGTTTTGGACACTTCCTATCAAACCAGGAAGAGGATAGTGACACTGCATGTTTTTTTCTCAAAAGGACCTGTACACTGTGAGTACAATTTCAGTTTCTCTTGTATTGTGTAAGAATCCAAACCATATGCAGACACATGATTTAGATTTTTGTTGTTTCCTCCTGAAAGCCTTTTATATGTTTTATAAATTATTTGTGGATGTATCTTTATACGCCCAGGTAAATTAATACATTTATGTATACATTCCACTGACTCACATTTACTAATGCCTTCTGTGTTAAACTGTATTACATTTAGAAGTCAATGGTTTATTTATACTATAATAGATAACATTTGCAGTGCACATTGATTCACATTTCAAGTACAGTATTGCATTTACAGTAGTTTTATTATGCTGTGCAGACACACACATTTCACCTATGTACTGTAGGAGAACCAGGTACTAAAGCACATGAACAGCTTTAATTACCGAATTAGTCTAAAGTTTACTGTAACAACAAGTTGGCACTGCCCCAGCTCTGTCTAGAAAGAGAAAGCTGGCAGTAGAATCAAGGCAGGAGTTTAACCTCTGGCAAACCTGTATGTGGAGGATTCTATAGCAACTGTTCAACTAACCAGCCACACGGATGTGTGAACTCTTAGCAAAGAATGTTAATGTATAGGTGTGTGTGTGTGTGTGTGTGCGATAAATTCTTGGGCAGTGTATAATAATTTGCGGTGTTTGTAAATGCTGTGAGAAGTGTGTAAATATTTGGGATTGTATGTGAATGTTGTGGAAAAGTGTCTGTCATTGTTTAGTTCACCAATGCAGTGGGCAAGTGCAAATGCTATGTGAATGATGAGGGAACTATATCAACAAATGAAAGCAGTGTGTGTGTATTCACAGTCTGTGAGTGCTGTATGTGAATACTTTGCACAGTGTATGAATTGTTGTAAGCAATGTGTGAATGTGGACTGCGAGAGGCATTGAGTACTCAGAGAATAATGTTGTCAAATCATGAATGCTTTGTTTGGCATGTCTATGTGGATAGTAAATTATGTTCAACTCCTTGGCTATCAAACCCCCAACTTCATATTTTAGCCACATTGCATGGAAATTACAAGAATATTGACAGAGGAAAAGGAATATCAAGATGGTGTACTGATCACATTGCTCTTTAGATATTTGTATACATTTATATTATATACATATGTATGTGCATGTATACTACACAGGGTTTGAAAAATTAGCAAACTCCTAAAGCATGTTAGTATCATGGAACTAATAAGAAGTAGGGTTGTCATTAGTCACTAGCACTATCGCTTGTAGGTTTGTTGTTGTTTTGCAGGGAAAAGAGGAAGAGCGATGTAATTATTTTTAGCACTCCACTCTTGTACCTCCATTGTCCAGTATTCCCTTTCAGGCAGATGAAGCTACCAGGAGCAATTTCATCATTGTATTCCCACATATGTGTGAGAAAGCAAAATGGGCGCATCATTTTTCATCTACCTTTTTTTTTTATATACATACCTTTTCATGTATTAAACTTTAGAGTTACAGCTGATGGAAAATGGCACGTGGAAGCTTACATTTTACATATTTAGCATAAAAGTTTCCATTCATAAGATAAAGTAGTTCCTACTTTGTCTTATGATACCCTTTGTGACAGACCCATCTGTCTGGATTACAAATACTTTGTTCGCCTGTTTTGCCGGTTACATGAATTTCCCCATTCGTATGCTTTATTCAAGGGAATGTCGTTTTTTTTGTCGAACGGAACTACCGAACGGACGGCCACCCAGAAGAGAAGTGTGCTGCTGGTTAACCTATTGATCCCAATTAGAACGTTGCGGTTAACCACAGACACTTCTCAATTAAAACCGAATGCCGGGTGGTCGTCGTTCGTATGTCGACCACGAGGCGGCGGCCATTTTGTCCATGCGAACGACCAGCGGTGTTCGACGATTATTTCATGGATCTGAAAACGGACACTTTTTCAGCCGAACACCGCTGAAGCCGTCGACCTCCCCTTCTCAATCGACAAAAGTATACGAATGCCAGCCGTTCGGGAGATTCAACCACACGAATGGACTTAACCCAGATAGCCGTCCCATGGAGTCAATCGCATACCGAAGAACTGAAAGAGACTTTGACTCCATGGCGATTGAACTGTGCGAATGGGATCTGAGCGCTATTCTCCAATAATGTGCACTCAGATCCAGGCTATCTGGGGATATGCAATACGAATGTAAAATGTTCGGCCGTTATGTAGTTATGGATTTTTATGTGTTTTTGTGACTTGTGTTTAAAATGGCGATTGCCTCTGCTCTGGGAGATAATTGAGTTACTTCCCAATTATCCCCCGAGCAGAGGGGAGGGAACTGTACTGCATGCTGGGATTATTGTGGGGATGTATGTCCAAAATGTCCCCATGTCCTTCTGTGATTCCAGTCTCCCATTTGGTCCCCTAGGGGATTGTCCACCAAGTGGGAGACCTGCATAAATACCGGGCAGGTAGCCCACAGTAAATCAGTTCGTGTTTTACCCTCAAAGCGGAGCTTGGTCTCGTTATTGGGGGGATTTGGTTACCAGCGACTAAGGACTGCTTATTTGGATTATTTGCCGCTTGGGAGATATTGACGTTCGGTTACTATTTGCCATTCGTGGATTTGCAGCTCGTGAAGGGAATTAGCCGTACAGGTACAGTTCGGGAGTTTGGAGTGTTCCCTGGTTGGCGGTTCGCATGGTTTTACTATACCCGCTACCCGACCACATTATTGCGAACGGGGGATACTCGCTAAACGGCGGTTTGTACATTTCATTACTGGAGGTACCGTAACAACTGGTGGCAAGCGACGGGATGATCCTCAGCGCCCAAAGAAACCACTACAACCAGGATTAAATGGAACTACAATACCAGAACCTGAGAAGAGCTACCCTGAAGGATTTATTGGAACAAAGAGGCGGACAAGCCAGTAACCTCAGGAAGAGGGATATTATTACACTATTGCTGGAAATGGATGGAGTACCAGCGGAAGAGGGAACGAATGGACCCAGCACAGCTGACAGAACCCCCGAGGAGGCAAGCTTCGACCGGGCGGTAAGAATCAGGCTGGCCCATTATGGTCCCAACCCAACTAATGAGACTGTCACCCAGGTCATAGCCGCTGTGGAGGCCAACCTGCTACGCCAAAGCGGTGCTGCAGCAGCCCCAGTCACAGCAGACCCGGGAGATAGGAAAAAGGTACCATTTACAGCATTTAAAGCCTTCAGTGAGACAGAAGGAGAGATTGATGGGTACCTTGCTGATTTTGAGCGGCAATGTGCCCTGCACAAGGTACCCCTAGAAGACTGGGTTACTATACTGTCTGGCAAGTTATCCGGCCGGGCCAGCGAGGCTTTTCGGGCCATTCCAGATGAGGAGATTGGGGATTATGGAGCCGTCAGGGAAGCTTTACTCTCCCGGTATGCTGTTACACCTGAGGCGTACCGGAGGAGGTTCCGAGACACGGTTAAAACCTCTGGGGACTCATATGTGGAATGGGCATGCAAGGTGCACCGCACAGCCGCTCACTGGATGGCGGGGTGCCAGGCTGTGTCCGGGGAAGAGGTGCTGCAGATGTTCCTCTTAGAACATTGTTTTGATAAATTACCAGCAGGGGTCAGAGAGTGGGTAAGGGACCGTAAACCCTCCACTCTGCACGAAGCAGCTCGCCTGGCGGATGAGTATACCGATGCCCGCAAACTGGACAGTCTCATCAGTAAGGCTCCCGCCAGAGTGGAGTACAGGCCAGCAGCACCAACAGCAGCCAACCTATACCAGCCTCCCATGACTCGCCCATCAGCACCACCTCCATCTGCTCCGTACCAACAGCCACCCAGGTTTAATGCACGGGAATACACGCAACCCATTCGGTGCTACCTGTGCAAGCAACTAGGGCACAAGCGACCAGAGTGCCCGATGAACAGCGCCAACCAGAACCAGTCCTGGAGGAGACCAGCAGGCGGCAATCCACGACCTCCCCTCCCGGCCGCTCACTGTGTAGAGGAAGAAGAGTGCTGGGGCATCCTGCATGAGGCAGACCCCGTTCAGGCTGCTCACCGGGATAACCGACAGCATCACCGGCAGTGTGTGAAAGTAAATGGGAAGGAGGTCAGTGGTCTACGGGATACCGGGGCAACCATGACTTTGCTCCAGAAGCACCTGGTATCAGAAGCCCAACATACCGGGACACGGTCGCCGTACGAGTAGCTGGAGGTGCCGTGTTTCGTCTGCCCGTTGCCCGGGTACATTTGGATTGGGGAGTGGGCGCTAGACATGTGAATGTGGGGGTCATGAAGGACTTACCAGCGGATGTTCTCCTTGGAAATGACTTGGCGCCCCTTGTTTCCGCTTACGCTCCCATGGGTCCTGCTGAAGTGGATGCTGTCACGACCCGTGCCCAGACCCGTGCCGCTGAGACCGGCCCACCTGCTGCTGAGACCCAGGTAAGACTCTCTTCCCCGACTTGTACCTTAGACCAGGCCCCTTTAGGCTGGGATACCCCAGAGATGTACGGGAAGGAAACCAGGGAAGACCCGACGCTAGCCAAGTACAGGGCCAGGGCCGATTCTGGGGGAGAAGGAGTAGATGGGGAGCACTACGAGTGGGTGGGGGATAGACTATACAGGATGCCGAAACCGCCCCAGAAGCCGAGTACCCCTCCGCAGAATCGACAGCTAGTGGTGCCTGCAAAATACCGGCAGGAGATTCTGCGGATTGGGCATGATGTGCCATTAGCAGGCCATCTAGGTTCCCGCCGCACAGCTCATAGGATCACACAAAATTTCTTCTGGCCCAATTTTAACCGAGATGTGCAGGTTTACTGTAGCACGTGTGACACTTGTCAACGGGTAGGTAAGCGGGGGGATCACCCAAAAGCTAGGCTTCAGTCGATGCCTATCATTGGAGAACCCTTTTCCCGCATAGCCGTTGACATTGTGGGTCCACTGGCCAGGGCTAGCCCATCAGGTAAGAAGTATATTCTCACCGTGGTGGACTATGCCACACGTTATCCAGAGGCAGTAACGCTGTCTAATATAGAGGCAGAGACGGTTGCTGATGCCCTGGTTAAAATCTTTACTAGGGTCGGGTTCCCTCAGGAGATCCTCTCCGATCAGGGAACCCAGTTCACCGCTGTGCTTACCCAGCAGCTGTGGAAGGTGTGCGGTATTAAACCTCTGCTTAGCTCACCGTATCACCCACAGACTAACGGTCTCTGCGAGCGATTTAATGGCACCCTCAAACAGATGTTGAGGACCTGTACTGACACTTGCAGAGATTGGGAGCGATTCCTGCCTCATCTGCTATTTGCATACAGAGAGGTGCCCCAGGAATCTACTGGGTTCTCCCCCTTTGAGTTACTCTATGGGAGAAGGGTCCGTGGACCCCTAGATCTCATTAGAGGACACTGGGAGGGGGAGACAGAGCAAGAAGGGACTCCCATAGTATCATATGTCCTGGAACTCCGGGACCGCATGGAGAAACTATCCCTGATGGTCAGGGAGAATCTCCAGGCGGCCCAGGGGAGACAGAAACGGTGGTACGATCGGGGGGTGCCCGACAGCGGGTCTTCCAGGTGGGGCAGAAGGTTCTGGTACTCAAGCCTGTGAAGACAAACAAGATGCAAGCATCTTGGCAGGGCCCGTATAAAGTGTTAGCTCAGGTGTGTGATACTACCTACTGTGATAAAGTTAAGGCAGATAGACCTTTTAACCCCAGGGGAAGTACGTGTAGTTCGTGTGTTGCACAACCCAACGCTTTGTTTAGTTATGGGCCCCTGGGGTGGAGCATTTGGAGAGAAGGGTGGGCCAATGCTCCACTCCACAGTTTAGTGGTTTTCTGGGGAGACATAGATCCAGGCCAGGGTTTTTTGGACGTCTCCAACCCACTGCTCAGCTGCAGTTAATGAGCTATTGCAGTGGGAATAAACCCCTCCCGGCTAGGCAGGAAAAGGAGAGGGATTGCTGGCTTCCTCCCAGGAAGCAGGTAGGAGAGAGAGGCTGTTCTCTCCAGATAGAGTCAAGGAGACTAGGCACTTGGAGTGCAGAAAGGAAGCAGTCAGGGCAAGGCTGGCTTGGAGCACTGGGAGTGCAGAAAGGAAAGCAGTCAGGGCAAGGCTGGCTTGGAGCACTGGGAGTGCAGAAAGGAAAGCAGTCAGGGCAAGGCTGGCTTGGAGCACTGGGAGTGCAGAAAGGAAAGCATCAGGCTAGCTAGCAGAGTGTTGCTCTCTAATAAGGTTGGTGCCATATTGTTTTGTTTAGTTTAACCCTGAGAGATAGGGAACCTAATGTCAGTTAGTGCTCAGACGAGCTAGGTTTTTGTTTATACGGTTTTCTGTTACATTTGTTTTCATTTACTGCTGTATCCTGTGTGAACTTACAAATAAAGTGCCTGGAGTATATGCAATAACAAGGACTGTGCATGTTTTTGCTCTAGAGGACCGTGCTACCTGCAAACAAGGATCACAATATGGTGGAGAATGCGGGCACAGTAGCACATTGAGGGTCTGTGGGTGTGCCAGTCATTTGGTAGTCTGCTTGAGGACTTTTATTTTTGCAGACCTGTTAAGCAAACAAGTAGCACTGTACCTTTAAGACTGTTACCTGCTTGGTGCTATAATGGAGGACCTGCTGAGAGCTGTGGTACAGGCAACGGCTAAACAACAAGGCACAAACAGTTTCCTGGCTGCACAGGTTAAGAACCTGAGGGACGCTCAGCAGGAGCATAGAGCTGCCCTTACTGAGGTTTTGCAGATTGCCCCCTGCAGGGAGCGTGGGGACAAGGGACCCCGTAACCAAGCTACTGACATCCTGCATAAGATGACAGAGGCAGTAGAAGAAGTCTTTCGCAAGCTGAAAAGCATGGAGGCAACAAAGCGTGATGTTGAGAAACACACAGAAGAGAGAGAACCGGAATTAAAAGGCAAGAAGGATAAAATTGATCCTGAAAGCAGTGATAATGTGGAAGATGGTGAAAATGCAGTTGGATCATCCAAGGAACAAAAAGCAAAAGAGAAAAAGGTAGTAATGAGACCAGCAAATCTAAAGGAAAACCCGGAATTGTCAAGAGGCAGTGATGGTGACAGTGATGACATGCGCCAAAGTAAAGAGGTCTTTGAAAAAGAGTTGGTGGTAAGCAAAAAACACCCAGAAGGTGTAAGTAAAGTTAGTGAATACAGCCAGGGAAAGAAAAATGAAGCAGAAGCCCCTGATGTACACCCAAGTGAACAAGTCAAAGGCATGAAAAGCAGACTGACTTGGGGAGTCAGAGAAGACAACAGCAGAGGAGCTGAGCAAAATGGAGAGAAGCAAAGCACCCCAGTTGAGCTCAAAAATGCTGTGCACTGTTTAGTAGCAGAGGCTACCCAAAAATGTCGACCAGCTGTTGAACAGTTTGGCAGAGAAAAGCAAGGCAGAGAAGTAGTGCAAAACGAAGTCAAAACAAGAAAGGCAAAGTAGCCGCTTCTGATCTAAGCCTAGAGAGAGCGACAGTTACAGAACCAAGCTGTGATGATAAGATGGGCACGTCCGCAGCTAAGCCAGACCAAGGCGAACGTCACAAAGTAGGTGACATTGGCGTAGCAGAATTAAATATTTCAAAGACATCTGGTATTGCTACAAAGACTTTGAATGATTTTTTGGGAGCCGTAGAACTTGATCTGCTGGCAAAGACTACTGCTACACGGCCTGGGCGCACTGACTACCTGGAACAGCTGCCAGACTCTGGGAGCACAATCATGGAATCAAAGGTGGAACTCGGAATGCCTGACTGGCTGTTTGATACCGGGGCTGTCATGACCCAGCCAGAGGCCATGACTGCGTCTCCGGACAACCCCGAGGGAGCAGGGAGACTGCCAGACAGCCCAGAGGAAAGCTTTTCTGACAGTGAGAGGTGGCCACTCAAGGCAGAGCATTCGGAGGATACCCCTGGGGAGGAAGCCAAGCAAAGGAGAGATGAGCTAAGCCGGGAGTCTGGGCCTCAGGTAGAAGAACAGTGCTGCATACCAGGCCAGGCTGAGCATGATAGGATGGAGCTGGGATCAAAGGCTGCATTCATGCAGGAGGAGGGTGCTCCAGACAGCCTCCCTGGCCAACCCCCTGAGGATATAGAGATGAGACCTGTAGCATTACCCGTAGGGAGCAAGGAAGGCTCCCAGGAATTCACAGAACTGATGGAGGATGTTGTGGAGCCCTTCATGGAGGGACCTGTTCCAGTGGAGGATGAGCTGGTGACAGAACCAGGTCTTGAAGAGGTTGAGCACCTGGAAAATTCAGCTCATGAAGGAATTGGACGTAGAGCTACACGCCAAGCCTTTGCAAAGTTTGCTTTTGAAAGTTACTCTAACATTGAGAGATTATCAAATCAGAAGCTGTGGATGTGGAAGCAGATGATTGAGAGGAACTTGGCTGCTAAGGAGCCACATCGTATTCATCCTCAGCCTAGATCCGCTAGCAACCAGATAAGCGGGGGAAATGGAAAGAAAGGACAAAACCTGATACTGAGCCTGGGACAATATAACTATGCTGGCAGAACGTACCCAAAAGTCCCATTACGGCTACGAGACCAGACTGAGAAAAACCCCCGATGCTTCAACTGCCACATGCAAGGACATATTGCATATAACTGTCCTGAGACTGAAGAGCCAATACAATGTGACATAGGAATAAGGGCTCTGCATAGGATAGTATTGCCTTGCTTAAAGATGTGTATGGTGACTGGTGGTGGTGTTACAGCACAGCTAAAAGTGGTGATGGTGGTAGGGAAGAGTGCACAAGCACTAATTAATTCAGGGAGTGAGGCTACTTTGAACAATGTTCTGCTCCAGCCAGAAAAATGTGATATAAGACAAGTGATTGATATTGTGGGTACACATGGTGACACCCGCACATACCCCATGGCAGAGGTAGAGTTTGCCACAGAGGTAGTAAAAGTTAAATGCCCTGTAGTACATGTAGCTCAAACACAAGAGCGTATAAGTAAGGCCAGGTTTCTGAGTACCTTGGACCTGGTCATAAGGTATTGGCAGGTTCCCCTGACAGAGACAGCAAAGGGAAGGACAGCGTTTTCTACTCCCAAGGGGTTATGGCAACATAAAGTACTGCCATTCAGGTGGCATAGTGCACCAGCCCCCTTTCAGCATATGAATAAGATACTTTGGCCCCACGGAGAGAATGCCGCTGCCTACCTTGGTGATGTGGCAATTCACAGGGTGGACTTGGAAACACACCTGATGAAGGTCCAGTTAGTTGTGAATAATGTAAGGGCTGTCGGTCTGACCGCTAACACTAAGTGTTATCTAGGATTTGAGGCAGCTAACTATTTGTGTTGTCCGCTTGGGTGGGGGTTCCTTAAACTACAAGGGAGCAAGGTAGCAGCCATCTACAATAGGCCACATCCTGTAACTGAGGAGCAAGTCAGGGCTGGTACAGCCCTAGGTTTTATAAATGTTCACGGTTTGTGTTTGAAGGCCGCTCGACCCGATGGGTCTGAGCTGGGGAGGAGGATATGTGATAAAGTTAAGGCAGATAGACCTTTTAACCCCAGGGGAAGTACGTGTAGTTTGTGTGTTGCACAACCCAACGCTTTGTTTAGTTATGGGCCCCTGGGGTGGAGCATTTGGAGAGAAGGGTGGGCCAATGCTCCACTCCACAGTTTAGTGGTTTTCTGGGGAGACATAGATCCAGGCCAGGGTTTTTTTGGACCGTCTCCAACCCACTGCTCAGCTGCAGTTAATGAGCTATTGCAGTGGGAATAAACCCCTCCCGGCTAGGCAGGAAAAGGAGAGGGATTGCTGGCTTCCTCCCAGGAAGCAGGTAGGAGAGAGAGGCTGTTCTCTCCAGATAGAGTCAAGGAGACTAGGCACTGGGAGTGCAGAAAGGAAGCAGTCAGGGCAAGGCTGGCTTGGAGCACTGGGAGTGCAGAAAGCAAAGCAGTCAGGGCAAGGCTGGCTTGGAGCACTGGGAGTGCAGAAAGGAAAGCAGTCAGGGCAAGGCTGGCTTGGAGCACTGGGAGTGCAGAAAGGAAAGCAACAGGCTAGCTAGCAGAGTGTTGCTCTCTAATAAGGTTGGTGCCATATTGTTTTGTTTAGTTTAACCCTGAGAGATAGGGAACCTAATGTCAGTTAGTGCTCAGACGAGCTAGGTTTTTGTTTATAGGGTTTTCTGTTACATTTGTTTTCATTTACTGCTGTATCCTGTGTGAACTTACAAATAAAGTGCCTGGAGTATATGCAATAACAAGGACTGTGCATGTTTTTGCCCTAGAGGACCGTGCTACCTGCAAACAAGGATCACACTACCTTATAGCCAGCTGTTCAGATGAAAGGATCCAGCGATCCTTCCATGTGAACATGCTGAAGGAGTATCAGGAACGACCAGAGGATGTGGCGGCAGTATGTGCCCCAGCTACTGACGACTCCGAGAACTTATCTTTACCTGACCTGTTAGAGAAGGATCCCCAGACAGACCTTACTAGTCTTGTACAGCTGGGGGACCGGCTAAACCCGGCGGAGAAGGTACAGGCGAGACAGTTACTGTGGGAGAAGCAGGCGACGTTCTCCCAAGAACCCGGTTACACTACCCTAGCTGTACACAAGGTCGAGACACCCGGACAGAACCCCCTACGACAACCCCCATACCGTATCCCTGAAGCAGTCCGAGAAGGAATGCGGACGGAGATACAGGAGATGACCAGGCTGGGGGTTATCGAACACTCAGACAGTCCTTGGGCCTCGCCTGTAGTTCTGGTACCTAAGAAAGATGGGACCACCCGGTTCTGTGTAGACTACAGGCGGCTCAACGAGCGGACCACCACTGATGCCTACCCTATGCCCCGGGTAGACGAGTTATTAGACCGTATTGCCAGGGGGCGCTACTTGACCACCATTGACCTGTGTAAAGGTTATTGGCAGATCCCCCTGGCCGAGGATGCTATCCCTAAGTCGGCATTCGTCACCCCATTTGGCCTGTACCAGTTTAAGGTTATGCCATTTGGGATGAAGAATGCTCCGGCTACGTTCCAGCGTATGGTGGATAGGCTCCTCGATGGCTTCCAGGACTTTGCATGTGCATACCTGGATGACATTGCGGTCTACAGTGAGTCCTGGGAAGACCATTTAGTACACGTGGGGGTGGTGCTGGATAAGATTCGGGCCGCAGGCCTGACCTTGAAGCCAGACAAGTGCCATCTAGGCATGGCAGAAGTACAGTACTTGGGACACCGAGTAGGATGTGGAAACCAGAGACCCGAGCCAGCCAAAGTAGAAGCTGTAGCTAACTGGCCCACACCTATCACCAAGACCCAAGTACTGGCCTTCCTAGGGACGGCAGGGTATTACTGACGTTTTGTCCCAGACTACAGTACGGTTGCCAAGCCCTTGACTGACCTGACTAAGAAGAATTTGCCTAAGCAGGTCCTGTGGTCTCCAGCTTGTGAAGCCGCGTTTCAAGCACTTAAGCAGGCTCTTGTGAATGCCCCTGTCCTGGCTGCCCCAGTCCCTAACAAACGTTTTCTTGTACATACAGATGCTTCCATGTATGGACTGGGGGCTGTGCTAAGCCAGGTCGGGGAAGATGGAGGAGAGCACTCTGTCGCATACTTGAGCAGAAAGTTACTACCTCGGGAAGTGAGTTATGCGGCAGTGGAGAAAGAGTGTTTAGCCCTGGTCTGGGCACTGAAGAAATTGAGCCCTTATTTGTATGGACAGGAGTTTTCCCTTATTACGGACCATAACCCCCTTGTCTGGCTTAACCGGGTCTCAGGAGACAATGGCAGACTGCTGAGGTGGAGTTTGGCACTACAGCCTTACAACTTCACCATCAGCTACCGACCCGGTAAGCAGAATGGGAATGCGGATGGGTTGTCCCGGCAAACAGACGTCCCTACTTCTTCCCAGTCCAGTCATCCCCAAGTTGACCCGCCAAAGGGTCAAGCCGGGTCTGCCGGAGTGTTCCACAAGGGGGGAGCCGTGTGACAGACCCATCTGTCTGGATTACAAATACTTTGTTCGCCTGTTTTGCCGGTTACATGAATTTCCCCATTCGTATGCTTTATTCAAGGGAATGTCGTTTTTTTGTCGAACGGAACTACCGAACGGACGGCCACCCAGAAGAGAAGTGTGCTGCTGGTTAACCTATTGATCCCAATTAGAACGTTGCGGTTAACCACAGACACTTCTCAATTAAAACCGAATGCCGGGTGGTCGTCGTTCGTATGTCGACCACGAGGCGGCGGCCATTTTGTCCATGCGAACGACCAGCGGTGTTCGACGATTATTTCATGGATCTGAAAACGGACACTTTTTCAGCCGAACACCGCTGAAGCCGTCGACCTCCCCTTCTCAATCGACAAAAGTATACGAATGCCAGCCGTTCGGGAGATTCAACCACACGAATGGACTTAACCCAGATAGCCGTCCCATGGAGTCAATCGCATACCGAAGAACTGAAAGAGACTTTGACTCCATGGCGATTGAACTGTGCGAATGGGATCTGAGCGCTATTCTCCAATAATGTGCACTCAGATCCAGGCTATCTGGGGATATGCAATACGAATGTAAAATGTTCGGCCGTTATGTAGTTATGGATTTTTATGTGTTTTTGTGACTTGTGTTTAAAATGGCGATTGCCTCTGCTCGGGGAGATAATTGAGTTACTTCCCAATTATCCCCCGAGCAGAGGGGAGGGAACTGTACTGCATGCTGGGATTATTGTGGGGATGTATGTCCAAAATGTCCCCATGTCCTTCTGTGATTCCAGTCTCCCATTTGGTCCCCTAGGGGAGTGTCCACCAAGTGGGAGACCTGCATAAATACCGGGCAGGTAGCCCACAGTAAATCAGTTCGTGTTTTACCCTCAAAGCGGAGCTTGGTCTCGTTATTGGGGGGATTTGGTTACCAGCGACTAAGGACTGCTTATTTGGATTATTTGCCGCTGGGAGATATTGACGTTCGGTTACTATTTGCCGTTCGTGGATTTACAGCTCGTGAAGGGAATTAGCCGTACAGGTACCGTTCGGGAGTTTGGAGTGTTCCCTGGTTGGCGGTTCGCATGGTTTTACTATACCCGCTACCCGACCACATTATTGCGAACGGGGGATACTCGCTAAACGGCGGTTTGTACATTTCATTACTGGAGGTACCGAAACACCCTTCAATTGCAATTGAATTTCACTAAATTTCCAAGATTAAACATTTCATTTTTTGTAAAGATTATATTGTTATGTAACCTTTTCAGTGACAGTAACACAACTGAGAACATCTTCAAGAGCATAATTGCATTTAACAACAATCCTATGAATATTTGTGAAACTCTGCCAATGAGCTTCTATTGCAACTACTACTTACTTCCCAATTCCAGCATCCAGAGACACAGTTTGGAGAGGGGCTTAAAGGGCAAACCGATAAGGTGTCCGGCCCTGTCCAGATGGGGGGGAGGGGAGGGGAAGGGGGCAAACAAATTACTGATCATAAGCACAAAAACCTTCCTAAAAGCTCCCCTCCCTCTTTGCCTTGCACTTACTTCCTTGTTTGTCTTCTGGGCAAACACTTCTTGTAGAGAAGGCCTCAGAACAAATCCAAAGTTCTGAACTTTTCATAAAGATGGGTGGTTTTATTCAGATATTATTATTATTATTATGATGATGATATTTATAGAGCGCCATCAAATTCTGCAGCGCTTTACAATGGGTGGACGAACAGACATGTAGTTGTAACCAGACAAGTTGGACACACAGGAACAGAGGGGTTGAGGGCCCTGCTCAATGAGCTTACATGCTAGAGGGAGTGGGGTAAAATGACACAAAAAGGTGAGGACTAGTGGCAGTTGCAGAAGAGATATGCAGGGTTAGTAACTAAAGTGTCAATTGCCAGGGATTAAAAGTGGATTCAATAGGAATTTTAAATATAAGGTAAAATATGTCAAACTGAAAACAGAACAAACTTGGAGTAATATTCTAATATAGCTATTTTGGCCTAAATTTCGTGATTCCCAGCAATTCTCCAATTAGTGAATAACTATGTTAGAGCAAAAAATGGGTCGCAAGAGTATTCTGAGGACGGACAGCAGCTAAAATAGCCTGCCCTTCGGTGGGTCCCCGCTCAGAACTCAAGCTGGTTTTAGCTCATCTTGTGCCATTACAGAGAGAATATATCTGAAGCATATCAGACTGGTCCCACCCATACGGGCAGTCCAGAACCAAAATGCCAGCAAGTTCTCTCTGCACGAGAGATACAGCAACCCCAGACGATCGTTTCAGCCTCGTTAGGCATCATCGGTGAGCCATAGCGGATATCTCTCTAGGCACAGTGAGCAAGGGGTCCACGTCTGGATTACCCTTTAAACTTATGGAGAGCAAAAAACGGGTCGCAAGAGTATTCTGAGAATGGACAGCAGCTGAAATAGCCTGCCCTTTGGTGGGTCCCCGCTCAGAACTCAAGCTGGTTTTAGCTAATCTTGTGCCATTACAGAGAGAACATATCTGAAGCATATCAGACTGGTCCCACCCATACGGGCAGTCCAGATCCGAAATGCCAGCAAGTTCTCTCTGCACGAGAGATACAGCAACCCCAGACGATCGTTTCAGCCTTGTTAGGCATAGTCAGTGAGGCATAGCTGATATCTCTCTAGGCACCGTGAGCAAGGGGTCCACGTCTGGATTACCCTTTAAACTAATGGAGAGCAAAAAATGGGTTGCAAGTGTATTCTGAGGACAGACAGCAGCTAAAATAGCCTGCCCTTCGGTGGGTCCCCGCTCAGAACTCAAGCTGGTTTTAGCTCATCTTGTGCCATTACAGAGAGAACATATCTGAAGCATATCAGACTGTCCCACCCATACGGGCAGTCCAGATCCGAAATGCCAGCAAGTTCTCTCTGCACGAGAGATACAGCAACCCCAGACGATCGTTTCAGCCTTGTTAGGCATCGTCAGTGAGGCATAGCTGATATCTCTCTAGGCACCGTGAGCAAGGGGTCCACGTCTGGATTACCCTTTAAACTAATGGAGAGCAAAAAATGGGTTGCAAGTGTATTCTGAGGACAGACAGCAGCTAAAATAGCCTGCCCTTCGGTGGGTCCCCGCTCAGAACTCAAGCTGGTTTTAGCTCATCTTATGCCATTACAGAGAGAACATATCTGAAGCATATCAGACTGGTCCCACCCATACGGGCAGTCCAGATCCGAAATGCCAGCAAGTTCTCTCTGCACGAGAGATACGGCAACCCCAGACGATCGTTTCAGCCTTGTTAGGCATCGTCAGTGAGGCATAGCTGATATCTCTCTAGGCACCGTGAGCAAGGGGTCCACGTCTGGATTACCCTTTAAACTAACTACTATGTTAGTAATTCAAATAAAAATCATAATTTAGGGCAGTATTGGTTCAACTTCTAATAGTGGCTTCCTGTATGAAACTGTAATGGATTGAAATTCTTACATTTCAAACTGGAAAAGAGGGAACATTTTGTTTTAGGGGTGGGATTGAGGGTGTGGCCAGGGGCAGGGCTATTCTGAGACATTTTGGGTGACTTAGTAATAATCTAAGCAACTAAAATGTAATTTAAAACAATGTATCATTTTTACACAAACTGATTACTAAATACATTTATTTTAGTTTAAAGACACATGACAGATGTAGCCTTAAGCACTGAGCTATTTTATCATCTAAAAAATATTACTGGCACAGATATAGTGGGTAGAAAATGCCACAGACATTTTTTAAACAATAGTCATTGTCATAACAATAAATAATAACAGAATCAAACATTAATATACAACCATATAACATAGACAATGACAATTATAACAGACATTTCAAACACAAGCTTGCTCTCAGGGACACCCCAGTGAAACCATCACACCATTAATAGGGCATATCCCCATGCCCTACCACCAACCTTGGGTTATGAGCTAACCTCCCAGCTCTAACCATTACCCCAGCCTTAAAAGGCAAACACCATAAAGTTTTGAGCATCAAGCACCCCCAGGAGAAAGCTACCGCCATGGCTGTGACAAATGATTCCATAGCTCTTGACACCAACCTAGACCTGGATCATTCACCTGAAAAAAAAAAGAAAAAACAGCAGCAAATAGCAAAAACTTGAAAAAACAACCAAGGGCTTACAATAAGGGAGGGAGGGTGAGACAAACTTCTTGCTGCTCCAAAATTAATTCCTTGCAGTTATTCTAAGTCCCACCCCAGTATATATGCTTTAATTGCATAGCTCTGCACCCCTTACAAACCCATCAATCCTGGCTGCAAGGTGCCTCCCTCCTGTCACGGCTCTACACCTCTAGGGATTCTGTATGCTGCATGACAGATTTAGCCTCGACCACTGGACTGTCTTACCATCTAAAAAATATTACTGGCACAGACATAGTGGGTAGAAAAGGCCACAGCCATTTTTTTTAAAAACCATAGTCATTGTCATAACAATAAATCATGGAATACAATCAAGCATGAATATTCAACCATATAACATAGACAATGACAATTATAACAGACATTTTAAAACACAGGCTTGCTACCAAGGACACCCCAATTAAAACCATAACACCATTGATAAGGCATATCCAAACCACCAACCTCTGGTTATGAGCTAACCTCCCAGGCCTAACTGTAATCCCAACCATAATAGGCAAACACCATGAGATTTTGAGCATCAAGCACCACCAGGAGCAAGCTACTGCCAATGACCACCTAATAAGTCCTTATTAATGGTGGTTCCCCACACCCAACAAGAAAATGGAATTCTCTAACCCATCATGTAGCCCTTAAGAAAAAAATAGATCTAATCCCAAAGCAGACGTGTGAACCCTAGCCTTACAGAACAAGCTGGTCCAATCCTTTTCCAGCAGACTATGCCACACCACCACCACCTCTTGCTGTTTTCTGACAAAGATGGACATAAGTTTGCTCACCTTACCCCTGCTGCATTCCATAGCCTGTGAGTCCCTAGCATACCTCCAAATAATTTCTAACCACACAAATTGAATACCCGGAATCAAATCTTGAATGCGGACTAAATCCTTCTGCATAGCTCTTACTAACTCTTTCTGTGTTGTTATACCCATATCATTCCTATAATGAACAATCAGTATGTTTAGCTAGACACAAAGGCAAAGGAAACGTAGCAATGTAGCAAGCTCCTCTTCCTATCTCATTCCTTTATCCCCACACCACTTTACCTAAACAAAATTCCTTGTAAAACCCAGCTGCAGCCAATTCAACCTAACGGCAGCTCTCTACTTGGACCAGTATACAATGGAGTGACTGATTATCCATACCACATATTTTGGATCTGCAAGATAAAAAGAAAATACGGAAAATCCCTTTAACCCGAGCCAGGCCGCATCAGTAGTGGCTGTCATGAACGCAGTCTACTTCAAGAGTATGCGTGACATAGTTAAGGTGGTGAAAGGGTTATTCAGTATTTGTCTGCACTAGACCGGAAATAATGATAAATACCCTCTTAACACCACCCACACTTAAGCATAATAATATAAATATTACTGTTTTAACGCTGCAGCCACCAAGACAATTTATAAATGGGGTGCCTTGGTCCCCCAGGTAAACTTAATAATAAAAGCCCACCAAATGTAACTTAGCACAATATCTATGTAATTGCAAAATACTAATTAGTCTCTTCAGGTAACGTGATTCTTTACCAGTCAAAGGCAGAACTTAATATAGGAATATTTATTATGAGCAATCGTCACAGCACATGCAAAAATATAGATGACAAATCAAATTATTTACACCAACAAAAGATAAAACCAAAAGGGATAATATAACAGAACTCCTAATCACTTACTCAGCTTTTCAAAGTAAAACTTGTACCCCAGGGGGTCTCTGCTAAGAAAGATGGTGACTTACTTAGAATTAGATTCTGGCCCCTCAAGCAAGTACAAATTCACCCCTCAGTATCATTGGCTATATACCCTGTGGATAACCACGCCTGGCCTAGAGGTGAAGTTAAGACAATAGAGACAATATGTGACCACCTCCTTGTGGTCCAGACCAACATCAATCCAAATGGAAGAATTTGGTTCCATCTTCTCTTATGCACTTGCCACAGAAATAATAACTGCATCTAGGAATTGGTTACAATTTCTCCATTCCATAGATATGTCACACTTACTTGTATACAATATAAGTCCCGATCTCTTCCCATATGGTTAAGTTAAACCAATCATGTTTTGGCTTGTTTAGAAGATGGTGCTTGTCCCATTCTAAATATAATAAAAATGAGGCTTAATTATTATTCTGTGGACACATATTAATGTTCCTTTTGGGTATGATACTTGATAATTATCAATGATCAAGAAATTACCTCATAAATTAAAAGGTACAGGCCATATGGCTGAAGCCAGCTAGTTTACAATGGCACAAGATATTCAGGCTTTTCAAGTGTAGAATCTCACACCTTGCAGAGCCTTTGATTGATCAAAGGATCCATCCATATGGTAAACCATCTGACCCCTTTTCACATTCCTATGCAATTTACATTACCCTTTCGGTCATCTGACCTCTGTGGGGATCCCAGCTTTAAAGAGGAATTAAGGCTATAAACCTTCTGACCTCCCGTACAATCAAATTAACCCCTTTTGACATTGACAATACCACGTTTACCAGGCAGGCAGGTCATCTATGCACTACACAATTTACATTAAATGACAATATTCCATAGAACAATAATGAATTATGCATCCTTGCCATGACAGCGGGCACCAGTGCGAAAGGGATAGCTGCCAAATGCCATCTCCGGCAAACCTAAAACAGCTAAACCCCATGAAAAATGCTTAAAAACTGATAATAGGAAAGCACAGATTGGTCCAAATGGATAAGCAATGGGACACCCGCCATCGGCCACATTTCCAAATATCCAACAAGCACTTAATTGGACAGATATCCTCCCCATATTTTCCCCAGACAACAGTTTTGGAAGAACCCAACCAAATAATTACCCTGTCCAATTCGCAAACGTTGCAAAAATGCAACCCCCCCAACTTGGCTAGGATAACCAGTTCTGAGATGTGAAAGGATCAGAAAAAAGCGAGCACAAATGCCGTTTTAAATAAAACCCGCTTATAAGGAGGTAAGAACTGCAAAATGACCCCTCAATGTACCCACCTCCAATGGATGCTGCGTATGTGGCAACACTTTCCCCCATTTCAATTCCTCTAATGCCTGACGCACAATAAAATGTTTCATAACTGCTTTGAGATGGTGAAGCCCCACCCAGGGCCACATGGGTAATAAACCATGATAACACATCCAATCTGTGACTATCATCCTCATTCTTACCTGCCCATGCCATTATGCTATCCCACTTGTCCAAAACTTTACAATATGCCGACCAGGTAGAAAGCGCCACCGATGACCTTCCCAATACCACAAACAATTTCTGCCGAGTTTACCCATCACCTCCGGAACCCTGGAGCCTTCCAACTCTGCTTCCGGTGCCTCCCATCAAAATCTCTCCCATTGCAAATGAGAAAGAGAGTCTGCTATGATGTTTTGATGCCCTGGAACGTAGCTAGCCTAAAACAAGATATACAGCTCCATACACAACAAAACGAAGTAGCGAAACAAACAAACCACCAGAGCCAAAAAAAAAAGAAAATCACACACCTATCCCTTATGGCCCATACCCAAAGGGATAATGCTACCACCAGTAAAAACAACTCCAGGAAATCCACATTTCTAATAAGTGGACTAGCATGCCACTCATCTGACCACCAAGCTGCACACCATTTACCATGTAGGTAATATCCAAAACCTACACTGCCCAAAGCATCAGTAAACACTTCAAGCTTGTCTGCTCCTAAAATTGACTGTTGGAATACACCTCCCACCATTCCACCCGTCTCTTTGGCAAGCTCACTTGCATTGCTGGACATGCTGCTGAAGCCCCTGGGACCAATCTGCTGCTGTGCCCAAGCTGTGCCATGCTCCTGAGTCGCTTCATGAATGCTTGTTAAAAGTCTCTCCAAATCTTCAACCATGTTGAAGGTAACTCTCCACAATTGTAATGCAAACAGTGCATTGCAAAAATTACCACCAACACAAATTCAGATCGCTCTCACAAACGTCTTGCTGCTTCAAAATGTATTTCTGGCAGCTATTCCCAGCCCGATCCAAAGACGCATTATGCACTCGACAGTCCTGTTTTGCAATGCCTTAATTCACTGAAGATCTAGATGAGAAGGATAATTGGTGAATGAGCCGAAAGAGCCTGATTCCTTCTTAGGAACCAAACCCAGAGGTGACACCCGCAAGTTGTCGAAATAGCGAGGAAGAAAATGGACCCGCCGTGCATTCCAACCCAATCTCCTTTTGAAGTTTCTATCACAAGATATCCTCATTACCCAAAACCGATAATAACTTAGGTGCAAGCAACGCCTCCTGCAACGCAAACAATTGAATAACGATCCGATCCTGGAGCTTGGAGTACCACACAAGCCATGGGAGGAATCTTTCCACCTTCACTGGGGTCCTCACACCAAGAAACGTTCTTGGATAAGGCTCTCAGGATGGGCTTATCCCACTTGATACAACACACTGCAGTGGGTTAAATCGACAGCTGCTATACCACCTTCAGTGGCTCTCATTAAAGAGCCATCAGATGCCCTTCTTGTGACCTACTGACACTCCTGCAGGAGTGGCGACAGAAAGGTGGACTGGTGACACCAGCAGCAACCAAAAGTTGCCATCCTGCACTCCAAAATTTCAATTGAAGTCAGACCAACATTTTCTGGCAGAACTGCTGGTCATACCGGAAGCATCACTGGCCTCCACACACCTTAGAACGCATTAAAATGCAAACGTTTAAAAACCTTGCAACCTATTCCCAAACGTTTGAGGCAATTACTTACCCTTTTTGTGAGATGAAATGATATAGATGATTTTAATGGTAATTTAAGAAAAAGGTATAATTTTTTTTATTTTATTTTTGCAATTGGGTTTGGGACCAACTGCCAATTAACATAGAGGGTGGGACAACAGTCTTAACCTATTACCCCATGATTACTTGTGGAATGTGGTGTTCTATAATATACTGGCTTAGAATGAGGGTATAAGGTAAGATGCCACATAATATTAACATCAGCCCGGGTACGGGGATCAATGACCAAGTTGGAAAAATTGTAGGAACCATGGAATAATAGCAACATAGCAGCCACATAAGAATACGACAGAAATTTTAGGACAGATAAGACCGGCCTCCGCATCCTTGGACCCTCACTCAGGGATCAAACACAGATTGCCTCAGCATAGCACTTCGGTGAGCGGCGGCATAAACTAGAGACCGGGTGACATCAATAAAACCCCTTACGCCGCACCCAACTGACCTGAGGTCCTTTTCTTTTAAAAAATTATTTTTATTACCCCATTACTTCCTTCTTCTTGTCCTGCACTATTTTTCTATTCTACTTTCTACTCACCCCGGGAGTTAAATATCCGGGAATGTACACTAATGAATGACTACAGGTGGAAATGTAAGCGTTACTTAACCTCAAGAATGACCTGGTTATTAGACTCATGGTATTGTTTAACATCTAAAAACGTGATATGTCTTGGTAATTTGACCAGCTGTAATGTAACTGAGCAATAAGAAGAAACCAATATGACACGTGGTTATTGACAATTATTAAGAAATGTACACCCGTTGCAATGTATACTGTATGTTAAGTGTACAACATGACTATCACACATAAATAAAGTATTTAAAAAATAATAATAATAACATCAATTTGGTATTGTTTATGCTTTTTCTGTTAATGGAAAAGTAAATGTAGACTAAACTGCCGGGGGTGTCTCTTCAAACTTAAGTATAAACTACCTGTACTAATGTAATTATCAAGACATATATTGACCAGAGGTAACTTATTTTATATATTATATTTCAATAGAATACACATGGCTGCATATTCAGTATTAATCCTGCTATTTTGGGCCCATGCTATACATGGAATGAAAACCAGTAAGCCAAATGTTTTATTGTTCGTGGCAGATGACCTTGGAATTGGTGACATTGGCTGTTTTGGAAATAGCACAATAAGGTAATGATTGTGTGGTTTAAATGTATAACTCGATATTTGACATTGTTACAAGTATGCTAAAGCAAGGTGTGTTGTGAGAGGAGCCCCTACATGTCCTATTAATTTAGGCAGCCTTTGGCAATCAGTGATTACATCTCCCATAATGTTTTTTAGAGGGGAGAAGTGGTGAACAACTGGAGTGCCGAAGGTTACTTCCTGATTTAGGCCATGGTTAACGCTGAATGGGGGGACAGCACCAGTGTATTCCAGGCACTGTGAACCATTATGAGAAGAAATGATTGTTGTGCTTACAGGGTTCCTTTAAACAGGAGTGGAGAGTTGATGTATTTTTCTTGCACTAAAAGCGGCAATGTTTTTGTCTTTGATCTGTTTTTAATCTTGTTCAGAAAGAAAATAGTACCTTAATATAAATGTTTAACAGGGCATGAAAATTCTGTGAAAAAAAGTTTGAGGGACTTTAATATATTTCTCGGTATCCATTATCAGAACAGAGATCAGGTGCAAACTGTTCCTACTCAAACTTTGTCACCATTACTTCCCTGAATTAGGTCTCTGGTAGTGTAGTTACATTGCTAAACTTAAAGTGAACCTGTCATGTAATGTACAGGTTTGCAGTTTGCTAACCATCTGGCTTGACTTATGTTCTACAATTAAGTATTAATTCCCTTAATACTGTTTAAAGCTTTTATTTGTATTTATTTTCATTACCCCTGTCTCCTGTTGAGAACAACCATCTTGTTTTAATGGGTATTACACTTGCTGTAAGACTCATGTCTACTCATGCCTCCCAACCATCCTGATTTTGGCAGATAGTCATGATTGTCAGGTACTGTCTGCCATCCCGAGTTTGAACCCTATTGTGGACACCAGGGAGCAGTCCTCAAAAAGTGTTGTACAAACAACAGTAGACGCGCTCTCGCTTCACTCAGGCCTCAATAGGACAGCCTGTGTGATTGGCAAGCCAAGTATGCATACAAACCAGACTGGCCTTTCAGTAATTCAGACGGACATACTCCTTTCAGGGCACGTCTGTCTGGCCTGACCCTTTAACCCCTCTTGGGGTGCCACCGTGCCAGTGTTGGTGGGTGAGGGTATGCCTCATGCATACCCCTGTTTAGGTTGCACAGACACACAGACCTGCATCCCACAAAAGGTTAAAAGTCCCCCATACTTCATTCTGGCTTATGGTTTGTAAATAAAATGTATTGCTTTCTCTCTCCATTTACAAAGTGCCTTTCCACAACAGTGCAGGAACTGAAAGCAAGCAGGAGACTCACCCAAAGGAGGGTTTCCCTGATAACAGCTGTAGTGGTTATGTTGTTATTAGTGTTCCTTTAAAGAGACTCTATAAGGCTACCAAAACAACTTTTTCTTAAAGAGACACTATAGGCACCCAGACCACTTCAGCTGGTTGAAGTGGTCTGGGTGCATATTCTCAGGTCCCTTAACCCTGCAATAGTAATTATTGCAATTATTGAGAAAGCGCAATAATTACTATCCAGGGTTTACTCAACCTCTAGTAGCTGTTTACCAGACAGCCACTAGAGGGCTTTCCGGATTGTTAAGCGACTTTTGGTCGCCTTACCGACGCTAGACGTTCTCACACTATGCATGAGATTGTCCAGCGTCACCTGAAACCCTATAGGAAAGCATTGTATAATTAGGAACAGAATGTCAGTTGGGGGGACTCTTCCCCCTGAAGAGCCGCCCTATTGGCGAAATGCGCGTCGGGGCTCCACTTACCACTTGTGGTCAATCTGCAGAGGCCTAACTGACATTCTGTTACATCCTGCCGTGTAATCAGCACGTCTAGCAGACCTCCTGTTACTGTATCCTTCAGATGCAGTCTGACCCGAGTGTACTGATCTCTACAATACTGCTCTATTAGTGACAGCTAGATTGCAATTACTTTTGGCTATTACAGGTGCCCTTGAACACACAGATCTGCTAACATAACGAGCAGTATTATTTATGACCTATTCCTCTACCTCATGCACTCGCATACTGCTTAACCAGCGACAGCTAGATTATGTTTACCTTTGATAAACACAGGTACATTAGCCAATATAGAGAGCGCTATTACTATTCCCCTTACCTCATGCACTTTGGTATGATGATAGTGATCAGGGCTTCCGATTAGAGATAGCTAGTACTAGTCCCACAGACTCTAGTATAGGTGCCCATGAAGGCACAGATTAGACATAAAGTTTGACAGTTTATCATTCCTATCACCATTACCTTTGCTAATGACATCCTGGAAGCTGATATACCGAGACTGAGCATGGTTTAGCCGAGGGTTCCCCCTGGCACAGCATTGCAACTAGGATATTATGTTGTATCTTATCGGTATTAGTGACATGGTATACTTTATCCCTCCCAGGACACGTATTAACCATAGTGTTGCCACTCAGCTCTGGTTGCTACTAGCATATGTATATATATATTTTCCTTTGCTTTTCTAGCACTGTATATATTGTTAATAGATCACTTAGTATCATTGTGTTCAATTATTATATTATTTCCTGTGTGGTTATATTCTCCTGCCACCTTGTGGTTATATTATAACCCTTTTATTAATTGCTATATTAAAAACTACGTTTTATTATCTTACGACTTCTGTTTGGGCTAAAGACTTGTTTCTCCCCTCCAATGTTTATTCACTACTTGGGTTCATGCCCTTCCCCCCTTAGCCCAGATATCCTTTTATTATTCTCCCACCCCTTTTTCCATGTTTTGTTAGAGTTAACTGTTTGTTTTGTTTGCCTAAATGGGATTGTGTAAGCCAGTATGTAATGTATTTTTATTTTTTAGGACACCTAACATTGACAGATTAGCATCTGAAGGGGTGAAGCTAACGCACCATTTATCAGCAGCTGCACTGTGTACCCCAAGTAGAGCAGCTTTTATGACTGGGAGATATCCAGTTCGATCAGGTACAATTTCTAATGCTCAAGAATATCCCTATATATTTTTAGTTTTTTTACAGCCTGGAATATGCAAATTAGAGAAAATTATAATGTGTGACATATTAGTCAATTGCTAAATTAACTGTAGTGAACTTTGTCATAGTGTTTGTGCTATGTACTAAAATTTGACACAGCGAGCACCGAAACAATGTTTATATAATTCTCTATTTTGAACACAGAGGCTTGTTTTGGTTAATGGCTTACAAAGGTTATGTAACAGTCTTGGATTTTTGCAAATGTTACAGGTCAAAGTGCATCGGTCCTGCAAAAATAATATAGCATAAGAGAATATATGGTTACTGGCTTGCGTTACTTGGGGAGCACAAATCAATAGAGTTATGGTGGGAAAAAAAAGTGATTGAAAATCCCTTATAACTCACCTCATGCTGATGAGTTGCATTGACAGCGAAACGGCTGACCATGTGTGTTTATCTGGCTTTGAACCTCTTCGTGAGTGTTTAAATGTGTTGTATACAGCAAACATACACTCCAAGGAATCTATGCACAAAGTGGAATAATGGGGCAAAAAGGTTATTTTTTATTAAACTTCTTTGCATATGCCCACCCAGAAACCCTTGCAGTAGTAACAGCACTGCAAATGTGAGATTTCTGATGGCTTGATTGGTGTATGCAGATCTATACTCACACTCCCACTGATGTTCCCTTTTTTTATTGAATTTTCAGCCTCTACAACTATTATTATTTCTATTATAAAGCGCCAACAAGTTCCGTAGCGCTGTACAATGTGTGGACTAACAGACCCGTATTTGTAACCAGACAAGTTTGACTCACAGGAACAGAGAGATTGAGGGCCCTGCTCAATGAGCTTACAGAGGGAGTCGGGTATAGTGACACAAAAAGGTAAAGGTAGAAAAGGAGTGGCTAGGATAGGATTCATTGAGGGCTTAGTGTTTTGTTTTGTAGACAGTTTCAGGAGAGGAATCAAGGTGCGGGGAGGGAAAGCTGTTCACAGTTTAATTGATATGCTTTCCTAAAGAAGTACATTTTCGTCTGAGAAAAGACAGTCATTGCGAAATATATGCTTATTGTTAACGGCATCCACTACTTTAGCAACACAGATACAAGCTATTTCCTTTTGATGAACTAATTAAAGGGACACTTTAAGCACCTATACAATCATAATTCAATTAAGCAGTTTTCGTTGTTTTGATCATGCCCCTGCAGTCTCACTATTCATTTCTCTGCCATTTGGGAGTTAAACCACTTTTGTGTCTATTTACGCAGGCCTAACAACACCTCCCTTAGCTGTGATTCACATAGCCTATATGAAAAACATAGTTTCGTTTGCCATCAGATCTTTCAGCACAGTGTTTTTACTTTAGACGTTCTTGACACCTGATTACAAATGGATCCCGAACGCTATGATGTTCTCCTACCTATATAGATTGACCCCCCAGGTAAGATTTAATTACCTTACACCTCATGCCATTCTGGTCTCCGTGCTGAAGCTTTGCCTTCTCAGCTGAGATAATCAAGAGTGATGATCTCCGCCAATCCAATATTTGTTCAAAACCAGTTACTTAGAATTACCTAATAAATGGATTACTATGTTGACCCTTCCTCTGCTCTAGTTCACACCATGCACAGAATGTGTCTTACTTGTTTCACCATTTCACCATAGTCATTGAGGTGGGCTCATTTAAGGTTTTTAATTTTGTGAACGTGGTGTGTACTATATGGTATTGCATAATGAGAAATTGTGCTAATGTGTATTGCACGTGTACTGGTAGTTGATTACTTTGCATATTCAGTACTAAGATATAATCTGGAAGATGGCATTAAAGGGGTACTAACCCTTTCTGTGCTGGTCTCTGATTTTGTATAATCCCCTTTTTATTTACTTATTTTTGTTTTTATGGTTTTTCCCCTTTGTATTGTGTTTATATTTGTTCAACGTTTATATTGAATGTTTGACACTGAATCACAATTGACATTTCAAGAACATGTGTAAGAGGTATTTCAATGAATTAGACTGAAATAAAAAGTTTTAAATTTAGAGTCACATGAACTAATTTGCCCTTTTTAAATTTAGGAATGACGGGTCACGGTGGCTATGCAGTGCTATTATTTAGTGCTGCAGCTGGAGGACTCCCACCAAATGAAACCACGTTTCCTAAAATTGTGAGGGAGCAAGGTTATACCACAGGACTCATTGGTGAGTTTGTTTGCTTTTTTCAGTATTTTTTAATCGTTATAAACTTAACATGGTATTTATTTATTTATGTATTTAGCATTGCTTTATTTTCCTGATAATAAATATTTATTGCTTCTTTGACTAATTATTGCAAAGAAAAATAAACAGCTTTCCATTATATTGGACTATATCAGCATCCTATCACTAGCATTGCCAAGTTCATTGTTTTGTTTTCGGACTGGCTAATATTAATTCTGTGCATATTTGGAGTCTGTTACCAGCATGCTATATGTGCCAATGACAGACAACCACTGGTGGGAAGCCCCCTGCATGGTACTCAAGTCCTTCTCTCAGACAATCCTGTATAAAGTCCAAGGCACTGGATCAAAAATACGTTTTTGCTTTATTCAGACATTGCTTCCCCCTGGCTCTGCAGTCAAGATTAAGTAGCAACATAATGGAAAGAAGAAGAAAGAGTAGAAGATAAATATGGGGAGGGTAAAAAAAATAAATAAATATTTTTAAAACCCTCTTCCACCAAACCACTCTCTATACCCATATCAAATCCTCTCTATTTTGCCCCCCTACCCTCATATCCCTGCCAAAATCCATCAATTAAATTTAAGATTACTTTGTTCATTTGCCAAATCAAAAGGAGGCTAATCAACTCTATTGTGAACACGAGAAAATATATCTTTATTAATTTATAAATATTTGCTATTTGGCCATTCTTTCATCCATGCAACTATCAGTTTTTAAAAAACAAGACAGAATCTGTGTTAATTTAAATTAATTTAAAGCAGGGTAGCCAAAAGGGAGATTCCTATATGTTGTAGAACTACAATTCGCAAGATGATTTGAAAGCCTATAGAATGACAAAGTGTCACGGAAGCGGTAGTTTTAAAACCTCTGGTGATCTACCTTTTGTGCATCCCTGATTTAAAGTAAAGTTGACTGATGGTCCAAGCTAGCTTCAATCTAAAAATGTAATTCACAAATGTCACACTGTTATTGAAAAGTAACCTTGTTTTCTGTTTGTATTATTTTAACAGGAAAATGGCACCTTGGTATTAACTGTGAATCCAGGAATGACTTTTGTCATCACCCTTTAAACCATGGCTTTGACTATTACTATGGATTACCTCTGACCTTAGTGAATGATTGCCAAGAATCTAAACCAACTGAAATACAAATGTCGTTTAAAAAAGATCTGTGGTTTTATGCACAGTTATTTTATGTTGCACTGGCCACTATAGTAGCTTGTAGGCTTTTGAATATACTTCCAGTTCCCTGGATAATCATAATATTATTTGCCATTTGCGGAAATGCCTTTTTTATGTATTGGTTCACAGCTCATTATTTCTATCAACGATGGAACTGCATAATAATGAGGAACTATGAAGTTATTGAACAACCAATGAACCTGGAAAAAAATGCTTTTAGTGTAGTAAAAGAGGCAAAGGCATTCATTCGAAGGTAAGACGAGATCTTTACGTCCATGTATTCACTAAACTATGAGTTGTCTGAAATTAACCAAGGAGTGTCCACCAACATAACCATAAAATCCAACATTATCAACATTATGTATAGCTTCATGACAGGTTCTCTCTCCGATTCCATCTGTTCAGAACCAAGGCTTGTTTGGCCTTGAACTATATGGTTCATCATAATTAAACACTTTCTTATTAAGTGCTTTCATACATACTATACATTGTTTTTTTTAAGTACAGATAGTATTTTCTTGTGATACTCCATATGTATACTTATTACAAGAATAATTACGAAAATATAAAAATATTACACAAATAGACAAAATTAAAAAACAAACCATATTTTTTTTCGCAACTCGTGGTAACTTAAGAAAAATAACTCAAAGTAGAATCACTTATTAGTCCTAAGTGTTAAAAGGCCCAATGTGTCTGGGATTTCAAACTTTTGCCAAATCGGTCGTGCTAAAAACATAACTTTAATAGCAGTCACAAAACTCATAAACTTGCCCCTTATTTTTTCCTGGACAGAGGTGCCTTGTAGTGTACCAGAAGGAGCATCGGGTTGATTTATTTTAACTTTGATTTTAAGCACTCACTATGAGTAGAACATATTGTCACTGTATTTTGTGTCTTCGGGCTTTAAGCTAAGGCGCTATGTGTAAGCCCACCATTTTGGTATGCTGAACTACATCCACAGACCCCCTTACCTATTTGGTTAGTGTAGATTTAGGATATCTTCCCTCCTCTTCACAAGATAATAGTTACTTTATGTGAATTTTCCTGGGATTTGGGCTATATACTTGCATATACTTTTCACAAGACATGCATGGTGTGGGAAATGAGGGGGTGCAATCCCTCTCATTTTTTAAACATTTTTTTTTTTGTTACTTAAGCAGTCGGTAGAATATTTGATTTCACACTTCTTAAAGGAACATTATAGTATTGGGAAAATGAATGTGTTTATTTTAAAGACTGCAATAAAAACATTGCTAATATGCAGAATTAAATATTTGAATATGACATCAACACCACATTATTAAACCGCAAACTTGGCTAGAAAATTCATTGCAATTAGTCCCAAGTTGAACCTTTGATAGCGGAACTTATTTTTCTGATCTCAAATACAGGAGATATCAATATATATTCTATGTACGTTTTGTGTATTTATTTTTCCTACATTTTAACACAATTCGAGAAAATCATATCTTAAGAATTTCATTATTTTTTTAGGAACCGAGATGGGCCTTTTCTTCTCGTTGTCTCTTTTCTTCATGTACACACTCCTTTATTTACCACTAAAGAATTCAGAGGAAAGAGCAAGCATAAATTATATGGAGACAATATTGAAGAGATGGATTGGATGCTTGGTAAGCCCACACTTACAAAAAATAGATGTTTACATATTAAAATACTACAATAAAGATGAATAAATGTGATATGCATTAAACCATTGAAAACCAAGCGAACCCGGCAGATGTTTTTTTTATTGTAAGTGGAAAATATAAAAAGTATGTTTTATATACTAACATATGATATCTTAATAAATTATATAAATCTTTTATGTGTTCACATGAACAAAGTATTTGAGAGATATAGCTAAGATAGGTTTATTCTCTTACTTTCTTTCATGAGTTAATTGCTGAATTTGTATTGTTTTGAACTAGTCAGAGGAAGAATCCTGTATGTCTTGTGCTTACATGTACAAAAAAAAACATCTTCTTGTTTGTTATAAAATGCAGACGTCCAACAGAAAAACCAGTGAAAATATACAAGTTCCATACATTTCAAATTGTAGATTTTGAAATAGTTACCTTCTATTCAAGCATTAGGGTCTCTTTAAAGCAGCACGTTCAGTTATGAGTTTTTCCTAGAATCTAGAAAAATAATGCTTATAAAGAATAAAATACTGTTTTGGAATTTTATTGAAATATATTATATGACAAAGTAGGGATTACTTACTAATTTATGGCAATGGGCAGAGATTCTGCAACCACATCTTGCCATTTCCAGTTTGTCATTGCAAGTGACTACTGACGTGAACAGACAAAGTGCCTATTACTGCACAAATGCCATCGATGGAATATTTCATTGTCTCTTTGGATCTTTTAAAATCTTATATCCTCATAGATGAAACTGACAGAAGATAGATTATCAGGGCCTGAGTAGGTATATCTTCCTTTAAAACAGAGAAGTAGGTGTAGCATCTGGAATGTTCTTAAGTATTTATGTAATGACAAAAAAAATATATAAGAACTGATAGTGTATTATGTTTTTTGTGATGGTAAGTAATAACAGGAAATTAGATGTACAATTACACTTTTTAGGAGCTGTAATCCAGCTCCAACATAATCCCCTCCTGAGGATATAGTGTAGTTCTTGCTTTGTAGGTGGTTAATCCTTGTGAGGTATGGTGGAGAATCTCGTAGACATAAAAGAAGAACAGAATAAAATAATGTAGTGCAGTAAAATTCCAAAATTAGGTACGTTTATAGATGTAGACTCAGGGCCATCTTTCCGCATGGGCATGAGGGGGAGATGCCTGGGGGGCCCACAAGCATAGGAGCCCCACTGCAATGCCCATGGGCTGAAATTGACAATGGAAATCATTTGATCTCCAATGCAAGCCCATGCAGCGGCTGTTTCGCAATCTGCCTTCTCAGGCCAGTGAAGAGCTCAAATATCTCCCTGACTGGTCTCCTGGCAGTTCCTTCCAGGAGAGAGGAGTGCAGGAAGGCCCAGGAGACTGTGTTCTTCCCGCAAGCAGGCTGGTGTAAGCATAGGCGTGCGCAGCCTATTGCATTAGGGTGTGCACCCTAAAGCACAAACACACATGCGCGTGTATATGTGTATATACATATATATATATATAAATATACACAAATACACTCTTTCATACATACACAGACTCATATAAATATATTATAAATCCATTATCCGGTTTGCTGCCTGCACAAATCATTCAGTTGGGGTCCTGGGGAGCCTGTGCCTGTCTGCTCTGCGGACTCTCCTTATCTGCAGCTGCCCCTTTACTTGCTGAAGCATGCATTAGCTGCCGCTCAGCAGACCCTGTTGACGACAGGGTTCAGGTCACAAGGTTTGCAGAGAGTGGGGGTGGACAGCCAATGGAAGGGAAGGTGAACAGAGTGTCTTAAAGGTACAGTGACACTCGCACCTTCCCATTGTGAGTTGCCGGCCCCGTGGCCCCCGCATAATGGCGGCCAAACATTTTTTTAAATAGCATAGCAGCAGTACAGCGCGGGGCCTCAATTTAGAGGCTTGATTATGGTGGGGTGACCACATTTAAAAAATGCCATTAAGGGACACTTCCTTGCCACTCCCTGACCCCCTCTTTAAAACCAGACACAGCAGGGTAGGGTGGGTTTCAGCATCCATTCCCCCCATATTTCATGTATACCCCCCATATTTCATATCCAACCCATATTTCATATCTATTCCCCACCCCATTTCATGTCTATTCCTCCATTTCATGTCCACCCCCCACTACTGACTCACTGAGAGGAAGGGTGCTGAAATCTTTATCATGGAATCACTAGTAGTAATAGTAAGTCCATGATAAAGATTTCACCCCCCTCCCTTATTCCATGCACTTACCTGGTCCTGGGAGCTCCTCTCTCTTTCCTCCCGTGCGGCCGTCTGCAAAGAGCGCTGGGAGGAAGTGATGTCATCGGGTGTCACCTCACTTCCTCGCAGCGTTGGGAAGGGAGGGTTGCCGTCCACACATCTCCACCGGCGGACAGCAAATGGTGGCCTGCAGCGCTGGCTTAGTGGGGAAGCCAGCAGGCCCCCTCTTCACTAATATGGGGTCCAGCTCATTCCAGGACATTACATTGTCCAGGAATGAAGGTGCCGGAGACCCAGGGACAGACCTACAAAATGTGGGACTGTCCCGGATGATCTGGGACATGTGGGCACCCTTGATTAGTTCTGACACGGCACTCGGTTCGTGAGAGGACAAGAGAGGAGTCCATCTGCAGCCAGAGGAGCTGCAGGCTGAAGTTCACGCACCACTACTGGACCACCAAGGCTTTTATCACCCCCCCCAAAGACACAATATAGACACTTTTTATCCATCACACACACACTGTACCCCTCTCTCACACACAGACATACACTGCACCCCTCACTCATCCCACACACTGCACTGATAATTGCAGTCTGTGTGTGTATTCAGCAGTCAGTCCGTGTGTATTTTCAGCAGTCTGTCTGTGTATTAGCCGGGGGCCTATAATGCACTGCTTTAGTGGGAGACCTATAATGCTGTTAAGACGGCCCTGTGTACACTCACATGTTTTGGAGCCTAGCAATGGCTCCTAGGATATAACATGGAGTGCTATGATCCCCACTCTTAGGATGTGTAGGTAGTGGACATGCACTCTGTATACAAAAAGAGAATAAACAATATAGTGCAATAAAATAGGAGTGTAAAACCAAATAAAAATGTATTTACATGGAAAAAAGCAATATACGGTTTACTAAGTCCTAGGTGTGTAGGTGGTATTTATCTCCACCAATGACATTAAGATCAGGAGGCAAGCAGGAGAGTGGTAAGGTAATAAAAAGAATAAAAAAGTACTTTATTGGAAATAAAACTGTAGTAAAAAAACATAGAATAAAAAGAAATAAAACCAATGCCTGCAATACACAAAGGTGTTTCACTGTATAATAGGCTTTTTCAAACTTTTCTAACTTTCCACTCTCCCTCTGAGCATCAACATGTAAAGGAACATGACATCTTGATGGGGGTTGCAAAATACCAGGCCCACTTTAAATTACAAATTGGACAAACGTGCAATATGTTTTATGTGTTATTTGTGGGTATTTTGTTTTGGTTTTTTTTGTTTGTTTTTTTACATTCATACTTTCAAATTATGTTGACATGATTTCTAGGCCAACTTACTGTATGCAACTCCTCCTTCAATATTTTTTTGCAATTACTTTAGGAGAAATAATTAATGTTATTGATCAGGAAGGCTTGGTGAACAATACAGTAACTTATTTTACTTCTGATCACGGAGCATATTTGGAAGGCATGGAAACTAGTTATGATCTTACAGGATATAATGGAATTTATAGAGGTAAGTACTTGATACATATATACTTACAAGTCATATTGTTGTTTGCTATGTTGTTTATGTTCCTATACTTATGCAGTAAGTATGATGGCAAAGCATAATATAACTTAGACATTAATAAATTGTATACTTCTCAGTGTGAAGGTGGACTGAAAAAGGGTAGGGAAGGGCATAGCTAAATTTAGGGCATGTCAGAGATGAAAATTAGAAGGGAAATGGAAACTGCAACTGCATGCTTTCCAGTCAACTGGGATTAACTCTTTAAAAACAAATTTAAAATATAACGGTTGTGCCAGTGATGAACATAGACAGCTACAACCAAAAAAGGGGAGTGTCAACATAGTGCACTTACATTTGAACTTGATAGTGCTGCAAGATCCACACCAGAGCTGCCTATGTGCAGGACACATTTTTGCCTGGGCTGAAATCTCCTGTAATGATCTAACCCAGATCAAGACTATTGTGGAAAAACCGGGATACTAGAAAAGGATTCTAGAACCTGTGTCAAGAAGCATCTCAAGTACTTTGCAGTATTGGCACACAACCAAACTTGCAGTCTTTCTAATGAGTGGACTGATGCCTCTAATGCTTAGTACAAACAAAGCAGGCCTTCCTTTTGATGCTACAATACAATAGTCTTCCCCACACATCACAGATATAAGAAGCAAATAGCAAAGATAAGGACCCAAAAAGTGCATGGACCACAGCATTGCCAACACCTAATTCAACCCAGCAAAATGAGCAAATCTTCCAGCACAAAACTTCTACAAAACAGGTGTTCCTGCTGAAGTGCCAAATCAAATGGGTAACGTTTTGGCCCCTAAGAGCCAAAGAGTAGTTTGATAACGCTACAAAACGTCAACCATTTGACTTGGTACTTCCCTGTTTTGTATAGGGAAGTTGGAAGATTTTACTATTTTCACAGATATATAAATAGCAACATGCAGGCAGCGTCAGATCTACTGGCCAAGCAATCCATTAAAAGGTCACTCAAAACCCCTAAAACTAGTTTAGTTTCCTGAAATGCTGTAGGGATTAACTGCATGCCCTCTTGTTAAGAATGTTGAATGAATTTATAATGTGGGTGTCTTCCTATAAAGTGGGGTTTACTAACTTATTGGTAAATATTGTTAATTTCAGCACTTTATTTCAGCAACTGTATTACTCGAAATTACTTTTATCATTATATATATCTTTACTGATTGATTTTTTCCCTGCAGTTTTGACCTGTATTATATTTTCACCATGGTAACATAATACACAAAAAAACAAGAGTATGTGTGGTAGGCACAAAGCTATCTAGGAGAAATCATTAATAAGAATATTTCCAAATAGGTAAATTGATTCTAGCATTTTACAGTCTTTCCGTATATTAATATTGGCCTTTACATTATAGGTGGGAAAGGCATGGGAGGCCTAGAAGGTGGTATAAGGGTTCCAGGAATATTTCGATGGCCAGGAGTTTTGCCAGCCAAGACTATGGTAGATCAACCTACAAGTCTCATGGATGTATTTACCACGGTCATCACACTCACCGGAGGCAAGGTGCCACAAGACAGGTAAACTTGGACTTATGTTTATTACAGCTTCTATGAATACTGTGGATTATATTATTTATCATATTGTTATTGTAGACCAGGTCAAACATCCTTGAATAGTGCATTATTTACACTTTTATTACAATAATCAGTTTTAAACCTATATTTCAACTCTATATACTGTGTCTAAAATTTGAGAATACATTTTTTATGTAATCCTGTTTAACAACCTTTTTTTTTCAAGTATTGTATTGTCTACAATTTCAAAATGTTAATGTAATTTGATTTAAAGGTACACTATAGACACCAGCACAACTACAGCTTATTGAATTTGTTCTGGTGAGTGGAATCATTACCTTCAGGCTTTTTGCTGTAAACATTGTCTTTTCAAAGAAAATGCAGTGTTTACATTACAGCCCAGTGATAACATCACTGGCCACTCCTCAGATGGCTGTTAGAGATCCTTCCTGGGTCGTGGCTGCCTAAAATGCATCCAAACATTCAGTGTCTCCTCCCTCTGCATGCAGACACTGAACTTTCCTCAAAAAGATTAATTGATTCAATTAATCTATATGAGGAGATGCTGATAGGCCAGGGCTGTGTTTGAATTGTGCTGGATCTGCCCCTGATCTGCCTCCTTGCCAGTCTCAGCCAATCCTATGGAGAAGCACTGTGATTGGATCAGGCCACCAGTTCTGATGATGTCAACAGACAGCTTGTTTTTCTGAGGCAAACAGCATGCAGAGCTACAGCTTCAGGCTTGAATACAAGTAATATTTTGATATATTTAGGGAGGCATGAGGGGCCAGGGGAGCTAGATGGTGGTTTTAACAATATAGGATCAGGAATACATGTTTGTGTTCCTGACCCTATAGTGTCCCTTTAATATAAACAACTAAGAACTAAACAAGTTTATAGGCAAGCAAGTTAGTCTCTTTCATACAGGTATAAAATACCTGATCTGCAGAATAAAGCAAAATATGATTATCTTGGTGTTAACCACTGTGAATGAGATCTAAAAAAAACCCAAAATTGCAAATTATACTTAATATTTATGTAGTTTTGCAGCAGTATTGCATTTTAAAACCACTTAATATAGGGGGGTGTGTCCTAACGGCGGACGAGAACGGACGCGTGAGTGCTGAGCTCCTCCAACACACGGTGTTCTCAGCTAAATTCCAGCATACCTCCGATTGCAATCTGAACACAGACTGCACCTATCACTTGTACTGCCCCACGGAAGCAAATGACTACAAAATCCTGCAATAAAATGAAGCAAAAAACGCTTCAAATGCACCTTACCTCTGCTACCACACAGGAACTGAAAGGACAAGATGGCGCCGACGGCCCGGGCTCGCCAGCCTCAGTCCCAGAAGTAAGTGACACTGCTCACAGCATGGCTGACTTAACGAACCCAGTCTCAACAGCCACCCTCAAAACGTTACTTGCGGACCTGAAATCCACCTTTCATACAGATCTGCTGCAAGTGGTTTCAGACATACGGTCAGATATCCAGCATGTGGGAGAAAGAACAGCCAAATAGGAAGAAAGGGCAGATGAAATAGTAGATGCCAATAACACTCGAGCAGAGGTCTATTCAGAGCTAGAAAGTAAGTTCAAGAGCTTGGAAGACAAAATAGCCGACCATGAAAACAGGGATAGGCGTAATAATATTAGACTGAGGGGCATACCAGAATCTGTTACACCTCAGGGGCTACAATCCTATGTGCAGGAAATATTTAAAGCTTATGTGTCAGAAATGGAGCTCCTCCTGGACAGGACCCACGGGCTCCCCAAACCAAAACACCTGGGCCCACAAACCCCTAGAGATGTCATTACCAAGCTACACTATTTCACCGCCAAAGACAAAATCATGCAAGCAGCAAGAAAAAATTCCCCCCTATCTGGGCGTTTTGAGCACATACAGCTATTTACAGATCTATCTGCATCCACTATGATGAAGAGAAAGCCTTTGTCCCCATCACAGCAGCACTACGAGAGGCAAATATCCCGTACAAGTAGGGTTTACCAACCAGACTCTTGGTCAAAAGGAATGGGACCCACTCCAGCATCTTATCCCCAGAGGACGGAAAGAAGGTCCAAGACTGGGACATTCCATTCACTAAGGCGGTATCTTCCATGCCCCAAACCAGAGCATCACCAGTGAAACTAAATAGAGACTGGTCAAAAGCGATCCATGTCCGCTCACACAAATCTCCTTGAAATCTGCGGAGGGGTAATATGTACACAAATGTGAAATATCTGATATGTGTTTTACAAACTAATTTGTCTCATGTTAGAAAGATACATTTAAATCTTGAATGTATTGTCTAGATACTAGAGTATACAACACCGTGTGGAGTAACTAACCCCATACGGACCTACCACTGTAACATAGACCCAGTGAATTTGTCGCTGGTCACTCACCCCCAAGGTGGCTTAAAATATGGGCCGCAATTCTAACACTTGTTCGATCAACGGTTTTATGTACATAGTTCGCATGATTTCCTTTTTGTGTTCATCTTCTCTCTCTTTTTCTTTTTCGTTTTTTGATTGTTACATGTATGATGTGCCTACAAGGTTTACACTAGCACTGCCAGAGACACATGGGTCAATTTCTTACTCCGCCTATCACTATACCCTCAGTAGCAGACCCAGAGAAGGATTGGTGAAACAGGGCTTAGACCGGGCTGGAAAGCACTACTGCTGGCCTATAGGCAGTCTTAATGTACTCCCAGAATATAGCTCGATCCCATTAGACACCAGTGCAGAGGGCTTAATAGATTTATCCCTCCTACGACACGAATCCAACACCTACAACCATGGTGCTTAATATTTGTTCTTTAAATGCCAAAGGGCTCAATTCTCCACACAAAAGACGCTTGACGCTGAAGGAGGCCAAGTCCCTAGATGCACCTGTGGCGTTCTTTCAAGAAACACTTTTCAAATGGGGACATCACCCAAAATTTAATTCCATAGTGTACCCAATAGACTTTCATGCTTGCTACGCGAAAAAAAAGAGAGGGGTGTCCATCTTAATAAGCAAAGATGTGGCTTTCTCACTAGTCCGCAAAATTGGGGACAAGAAAGGTAGATATGTGGTGCTGCAATGCTATGTCAACAACAATCCGTATAGGTTTATGAATGTGTATAGCCCTAACGATCAGCAAATGGAGTTTCTAGAATTAATTTTAATGCTGTGCACGAAACATGCATTTGTAGATGTGATAGTAGGAGGAGACACAAATTTTTTGCTAGATAACTATTTGGATTCCTCACACCAGAAATCCTTACAAAAACAGACTATAAAAACTAGAGGGAAACTAATTACCTGCATTAGACACACTCTCACAGTACACTCCTATGTAGACCCATGGCAGATACAACACCCCAGCAAAAGAGACTTCACATGCCACTTTGCAGGGCACAATTGCTATTCCTGAATAGATAGGTTTTTGATCCCATCTGCGATTCTTCCCAAAATAGAGAAAACCCACATAGGGCTTATCACATGGTCGGACCATGCTCCTATTTTCATGTCCCTAAAAGAGCAATTCCCAACTAAAGGTCGAGGCAGCTGGCGACTAAATGACTATTACTAACTGACCCAACAGTGGTGGCACAGATTAAACAAGACCTCCAGAACAACTTCCTTGACAATACAGAACCAAGTTCCACTCCAGACCAAATTTGATTAGCACACAAGGCAGTTATTAGAGGTTGTTTCATTAAACATGCCAGTTATGCCAAAAAGAAACGCCTCGAAAATTACATTAACATACTGCGGGAACTTACTGACGTCACACATTCAAATAAATTAACTCCGACCCCGTCCCAACATGCCACTATCTTGCGCCTGCAAGGTCAATTACGCGACCTTGAATTAACTAAATCGACATTAATGCTACGACGAATGAAACATAGTTTCTTCGCCTCAGGCAACAAGGCAGGAGCCAAATTGGCCTCCCAGCTCCGGAAACGGTCCAGATCCGCAAAATTATCTCACCGGGTGAGCGCCAAAGAGGAAAAAATACTAGATCCACAACACCTAGCGAACACATTCGCTGACTATTACAGTAAACTCTACAACCTCAACAATGATCCACAACCCCTTCAATTGCTGAAATAGATGAGTTCCTATCCAACCTCCAGCTCCCCAATATGAGTGAGGAGGACGCAGAATCTCTCCTCCCTCATTTCAGCCTAGAGGAAGTTTCCTCATTACTTGACTCTCTCCCAGCTCTTAAAGCACCTGGCCCAGACGGACTACCTAACTCCTACTACCACACATACCGATCGACTCTAGACCCTCATTTACTGAATCTCTTTAACCACAGCATGAAGGAACGCTACCAGACGAACTGCTACTAGCCCACATCTCGACATTACCTAAGCCAGGGAAATCAGCCACGAAATGTAAAAATTTTAGACCCATTTCCCTACTCAACTGCAACGCAAAAATATACGCTAAACTACTCAGCAACAGACGAGCCCGGCTTTTGCCCAAACTAATAAACAATGACCAAACTGGCTTTATCAAAGGCAGGCAAGGATCAGACAACTCCAGAAAGGTGGTGAACATCATAGCAGAGCTGGAGAGAAACAAGGGACAATGCCTTTTCTTGGCGCTGGACGCAGAAAAGGCCTTTGACAGACTCAACTATATGCAAAGAGTCCTATACAAATTTGGCTTCCCGCAACCCATCATAAACAGGATCATGGCGTTGTACACCACCCCAGCTGCCAAGGTGTCCCTTAAATTTTCTCTCCTCGACATTTCCCATCACCAACGGGACCAGGCAAGGTTGCCCATTCTCCCCCCTGTTGTATATCCTCTCTCTAGAACCCCTAGCTCAGACAATAAAAGATCACAAACACATGCAAGGCATACGCATAAAGGGAAAAGACAACCGCCTTACCCTTTTCGCTGATGACATCATAATATCCATCTCTGACCCACGACAAGCGTTCCCCCATATCCTTGCTCTGCTGAAAAAATCCGGGGACTTATCACATTACAAACTTAGCCAAGATAAAACACAGGCGTTACCTATTGGATTACCTAGAGACATAATAGGGAACCTGAAAACTTCCTACCGTTTGATTGGAGAGACTCCACTCTAACATACTTAGGAGTCAAAATAACACTCACAATAGCAGGCATCATAAAACACAACTACACACCACTCTTACGTATGTGCACAAAAGAACTAGCAAGATGGAAAACGTCCCACCTAACATGGCTAGGTAAAATTAACACGTTTAAAATGATGACCCTCCCAAAACTCCTATATGTGTTCCGCATGCTACCACTCCCGATACCTTCCACACTTTTTAAGACCCTGCAATCCACCTGTAACTCATTTATTTGGGGGGGCAAAAGAGCAAGACTCCCACTTACTCTTTTACAAAAATCACCTACCAGGGGAGGCGTCGGCCTTCCCAACCTGTTGCTCTGGCAACAGGTGTAACGGCACACTCACCCCATGGCCACACACAATGGGTAGACATGGAAAGGGACCAATTTCAGGACAACTCCTTAACAGACTACCTATGGACCCCAAAACACCTTAGACATGTAGAGAAAACACTCCTCCCAACCACCAGGTTGACCATAATGATGTGGGATGCCTTCATGGCTCAGATGGGTTATGGTCGCAAACTACATCCCAGAGCCCCCTTGACGGTACTAAGGACCATAACCCAATCACTGTCCCTCCAAGACTGGACACACCTAGGCATAACAAGGCTTGAGCACCTCTTTGAAGACCGAAATAAAGTAAAAGCATTCCCGGACTTACAACAATGATGGGACTTACAGGTACAAGACACCTTTAAATACCTGCAAGTGAGAAGTATATTGACCTCTCACGCTCTCCCCCCTCTCGAACATAACAGCACAAGTAACCTGCTATTGCCTTCCTTAGTTATGCTTAGATGTAGGGAAACACTGAACAAACCCAAGGCCCTCTCCCTTTGCTACAGAGCATGGCTAGAGATGCAGCCGGATAGTCATCTGCTGTGTAAAACCCAGTGGGAGAGAGACCTGGGCACAAACCTTTCTGAGGGGGACTGGCTGAGAGCCTTGAATGGACTGTCCAAATGGAAAAAATGCTACTCACATATAGAGGCTCATAAAAAACTACTTTACCATTGGTATCTCACACCAACCAAGCTTCAAAGAATATATCCATTGGTCTCCCTCCTGTGCTGGAGATGTGGAACAGAGGAGGGTACAATGTTACACGTTTGGTGGGCTTGTACAGACATCAAACCCCTGTGGGACGATGTACGGGCGCTCCTGTTACAGCTGGGGCTCTCGACCTTCTCTGTTAATGCTACCAGACACTAAGGTTGAACCGACATACCAACAACTTATAGCTCTAACCTCCCTGGCAGCCAGGAATCTAATAGCGACCAATTGGAAAAATACAACATGTCCGTCTCTTACACAATTGAAAGATAAGGTACACCAATACTATATATATGGAAAAATGTCTCTTAGCTCACCCTCTCAGGCCCTTAAATTTCAGAAAACGTGGTATACGGGACCCGGGTGTCGAGGCAAAACACCACATGAACTACCACACTAGACACAGTTATTCACCTCTGGACTTTTTTAAGATCCTAGACTGCATAACGATTGGCATACTTTTTATGTTTCTTTTATGTTTCTTTTTCTTTATGTCTTTGTTTTCAGTTCATGATCTTACTATGAACCATACATTAATGACATGTACCAGTCACAGGAATATGGCGTACAAGATTTGCGTTGTATTTAAGACTGTACCCTCATGTCTGTATTAGGACCCGTAAACAAGCAAATGTATTAATTGACAGCAAGATATGTATGGTATTGTCACTTGTTGAAAAAAAACAATAAAGTACAAATTTAAAAAAAAACCACTTAATATAATTGAATTAATTTTGGTGCATAAACCCTGTCCCTTTTTTGGACAGGGTAAAAACATTGATATTTCAGAGAAATTGTAATGTTTACATTTGATTGAAACCACATCTCTAGTAGCTGACAAATTGACAGCCACTAAAGGTCTTCACGTTTACGACATGACAGTTTTATGACGTCAAACAATCTTAATGTTTCTCCAAGAGTATTATCTATTGGACAGTGTGTGGCAATTGCCAAGCATGCACTCTATGTCCCCAATGCTTCTCTGTGGAAGTGGAGCAGTTACTCCAAGGAGACTGACCCATCCTTAGAATAAAGGTGAGTTTTAAGACAGTAATTGATTTGGGGATTGTAAATTGTTGCCTTTAAGATACTGACTAGAATATATATTGTCAACCACACCAATAAATCTTATGCAGACCTGTGCTGGACCTGATTTTCTTGTTTTACAAGAGGTCACATAGTCTGTACAAAGTATGCACCTTGTCACATGCAAATAAGATGTGTATGTAGTAACAAACAGTTGTAGAGTATAGAAATTCTCTGATGTCTTGACATACGGGACAGTCTGGGTTTATTCAGCCATCCAAATAAACAGGCAACGTTTCGACACAATGTCTTTATCAAGCTATAATGACGTGCATTTTACAAAGGGTTATATCAATGAATAATCTACTTGACAAACCAATCAAAATAAAGTACAAATAACATCTGCAAAGAGTGACTAATAATATAAAGTGTTAACTCTCTCATTCCTGATTTTATAAAGAATAATGGTGAAACAAGAAAAATTGTGTTTTGCATCTTGAAGGGACATATTCCAAATAACTTTTTTTTTAATTAAAAATGAAAGATCCTATAAATATATAAAGTATTTTCTGAAAATTAATTCACCTAAACTATATTTATGTATCTAAACAATTATGTAATATGAAAGCAATAACACAAGACAAAACAAGAATAAAAATTAATAATTGTGGTATTGCAAACCATGTCAAACCATGTCAGGCTCTAAAATGTTGTAGCATGAAGTTCCTAAACTGTATATTTACCTCTCTGAGCAGCCAGAAATGCGTTCTTCTGTACCTCCAATCTCTAACTAGGCAACTGTATTCAAACAAAAAGTATGCTTGACTAGATGATCTGGGGTCGCATTGTACCTTTGTTGCACTATGTATCTAATTTATGAAATTGTCTTTAAAACTCACCCCTGGCATCTCTACACTACAGAGATTGTGGATTGACATCTTCATAGGAAGCCATTAATTTTCCATTGTGTTTGTAGTAGTGTTACTGCAACCTGATTATTCACTTGAAATTGTTGGAGTTGACCACGGAGTTTCAAGTCTCAAGCCAAAATAGTCAAATGGGAAAACCTTTTAAAACTCTGCAAATTTTTTAGTTTGTATTTGGCCCAATATTTGCAATTGCCAAGACAATCCCTGGTTTAGTGGATAACCATGTGTGTCTTGTAAGAATATTACTGTAATAACTGGTTATGTGTGAAATTTTTTTTTTTCTCACTTTTATGTTTAATATAGCTATAAAACACTATAATAGAGAATGGCAATGCTACAGATTGACACTTTTGTTTGATAGAACAAAGAAACCGCTACACTAGCTTTAGGTGTTATGCATATAAAAATAGTAAATATAAGCAAAAAACAAGATGTTCACCTTAAAAAGGAGAAACAAGTGAAGGTGGATTGGCGCTGAACAGTATAAAATAGCAACTACCCCCAGTGTCTAAAAATCACAAAAAGACACTAACAAATAGTGGAACAACAATATAACAGAGTGGGGGGTGCAATACAAAGAGAAAAATTGCATATACTTATTAATTGAAGATCTTTGAAGTTAATCTGAAAGATGCAATAGTACATACATAGTATAATACTGTATATAACAATAAAAGTGATGGCAGAGGTAATGGGTCACTCACAATATATAGAGCCTAAGACAGCAGGCTCTAGCTTAATCGCTTGTGGAAAATAAGCTTTTCTAGAGATCCAATTTCCGGAAGTGGGGATTAAAAAGAACACAGAGAGAAGATTAATGTATACACTTGAAAAAAACGCGTTGTCAAAACGCGTTGTGTTTTATTTATGTCAATATTTTACTATTTTTTATTATTACTGTTTATTTTATTTCGAGTAAACGTTTTTTAAGCTTCAACATCCTGGTCTGCCATTCATCTTTCCTTCATCTGGAAATAGACACCAGTATATATAGAAAGATTGGGGAGACATCCTGGAAAAGCCTGGAAAAGCTTATTTTCCACAAGCGATTAAGCTAGAGCCTGCTGTCTTAGGCTCTATATATTGTGAGTGACCCATTACCTCTGCCATCACTTTTATTGTTATATACAGTATTATACTATGTATGTACTATTGTATCTTTCAGATTAACTTCAAAGATCTTCATATTAAAATAGTAGTTCATTGTATGCATATTTAAAGTGTAATATCTTATTCTTTTTCATCGATCAGGATAATTGATGGTAAAGATCTGATGCCATTGATGCAAGGTCTGGGTCCTCACAAACACCATGAGTTCATGTTCCACTACTGTATGGAGCACCTACACGCTGCGCGATGGCATGATCTGAGCAGTAAGTATGTCAGCTGGCAGAGGATACAAGGGGACTTGTTACATTATTAGAAGCATTGTTTGTTTGTACTGCTCTCTCTGTGCTGTCTGAAATAGAACATTGACTAACACCAAGCCTAGAAGGAAGTGCTCAGGTCCATGATCGAGGTAAATACAGAGATGTAAATTTTTACTTTAATTTCTGGTTTTCTGATCATAAACTTATTTTTTTTATTTTATTTTTTAAACGTAGGGGTTAAGAATACATGTACTGTACTCCCTCTCGCTCTCTGTTGTGAGACTGATTAGTGTGATACTTTGTGTATCTGTGAAAAACAAGTGGAATAAAGTAGCAACGCCTAGTTTTAACAAACTTTCCCAGAATTAACTCGTGATCACTGCTTATTTGGTTTTGCCTTTATGGATTCATTTTTATTTATTTATTATTTTTACAACCCTTTAGGGGCTATATATATATTTTTTTTTTCCATTTAATGGTTACTATTTTGGTTGAGCGGGAAACTGGGTAGCTGAGCTGTGAGGTAGTTAAGGGTTAAAAGAAACCTTTTAAAATATAGTTTATAACATTAAAGTTTTTGTGTAAAAGTTAAAAATGCATAGGAAGTTCAGTGTTAGAATTCTGACTCCTGACTTGGCAACAGACTGTGCCCCAGTGTTTGAGCAGCTGAAGGTAGCGATGATTATTTTACTGATTCTGCAGGGCCAAAAGGCATGATTCTCCAAGCACTGCATGTGACACAGATTAATGGGTACCCCCTGATAATTTTACACTAAGTATTCCCTCTTTCCTAGCAAAAACATGGCATTTTATTGAAAATACCTTTAAAAAGTACCAGACAATAATTGAGTAAATGTTTCTAATCCCACTAAATGTTATAACTTTTTTTCCACTGATGATTCTGTAAGCCTGTGTGACATACCACAGATCTAGAAAAACACTTGTATCACATGTAATGCACACAAAGAACAAACACTGTTATTATTCTTTCAAATAAGCATTCTATTCAAATATATGTGCTATTCAAATTAAGTATCTTTATATAATGGTGTCATGTGTTCTTAATTGCAGATGACATAATAATAATTAAATCTTCTTGTGATACTTTATCATTTTTTATTAGGTGATACTGTTTGGAAGGTACACTACATTTCACCAAAATTTTCTCCAGAAGGATCAGGAATGTGTCGTGCAACAAAATTGTGCTCATGTTCGGGAAATGATGTTATTTACCATGTTCCACCATTACTTTTTAACCTCATGAGTGATCCCTCGGAGAAATATCCTATTTCACAAGAAACGGCACCCTACAGTCAAGTGCTGCAAAAAATACAACTAGCTGTTGCAGAGCATAATATGACTTTAAGCCAAGTTCCTCAGCAATTGTATGGGTCAAATAACAGATGGCTACCTAGTTTACAAGTGTGCTGTGGAGTATTTCCATTTTGCTCATGTAACAAAGAAGATAATATGTAACAATTTTCTACAACAGTAACGCAACATGTAGCTATATTGGGTCAGTCTTTTTAGACAAATGACAGTTTGTTATATTAATCTGGTTTTGTATTCCAAAATTGAATGTCGGTCACTTTACAACAGGACTCTGCCAAATGCCAAATGACATGACAATGACAATGCCAAATACGAACATTTCATGCAGGCATACAGCCTATAGGGACCAGATTGTGATGGCGGCAAACAATAATATGTGTTAGTTAAGGAGGTAAGGGTAGTAAAGCAATTGATAAACAAAGAGATTTTTACTGAATCTGAAGAAACTTTTTTTTTAATGAGATATCTACTTATCTGCTGATTGAACTGAAAATTATGATGAAGGGCAGGGAAAATGTGGGTAATTTTATAAAGAACTGTTGTGATTCAAGGATCCAGAGGCAGTTATTTCAGTTGAAATTATGGTGAGTTAGGTCTTTATCAATAACCTCATGGTATTAATCCCTTAATCACTTGATACTTCTGTCTGCTTGGGTTAGAATTAGTGACCCCACATTGACCGACGAGCTGTGTGCAGTGCACACTGCCTTATAAACTGCCTTTCTGAATGTCTGCGTTCAGCCACAATCCACTGGGAATTCCTTTGAATACATATTGGGTCTCCCTCTGAAGAGTGTAATTGGCACTGGACTATGCACTGTTTGTTATCAGGCATTCAGAATGTTTTAAATCATATGACAATTTGAGAGTAAATTATATCCTCCCAGGGCCGCAATGGCCCACTAGGATACCAGGAAATATCCCGGTGGGCCACGGCACCTGGGGTTGGGCTGACAGCCCTAATCATCAGGCACATCATGTAATTTAAATGATTCCCCCCTCGGACTGTGCCAGCCTGTGTCAGTCCGAGGGGAGTAATGAGGGAGGAGCTGGAGGCCAGCAGCCAGAGGGAGACCTGTCAGTCTCCCAGCACAGTGTACAGCAATTACAGCTGCATGCCTCGCCTCTGCATTTTAGTCCTGCCTCCCGAAAACAATCCCCTCCCCCAGGCAGAAGATGCTGACCTCGCTGGAATAAAGAGGCCAGACAATAACACCTTCAACTACCAGTGCCAGGTAAGCTTTGTATGTGTGCTAGTTAGTGAGCTTCTGTGTGTGTGTGTGCATGTGTGTGTTTGTGTGTGTGTGTGTATCTGCTAGTGAGTGAGCTTCTTGTGTGTGTGTGTGTGTGTGTGTGTGTGTGCCTGCCAGTGAGTGAGCTTCTGTGTGTGTGTACATGCTAGTGAGCGAGCTTCTGTGTGTGTGTGCGTGTGTGTGTGTGTTTTTGCATCTGGTAGTGAGTGAGTGAGCATGTGTGTGTGTGTGTGTGTGCATCTGCTAGTGAGGGAGTTTATGTTTGTATGCCTGCTAGTGAGGGAGTTTGTGTGTGTGTGCCTACTAGTGAGTGAGCTTGTGTGTGTGTGCCTGCTAGTGAGTGAGCTTGTGTGTGTGTGTGTCTGCTCGTGAGTGAGCTTGTGTGTGTGTGTGCCTGCTAGTGAGTGAGCTTGTGTGTGTGTGTGCCTGCTAGTGAGTGAGCTTGTTTGTGTATGTGCCTGCTAGTGAGTGAGCGTGTGTGTGCTAGTGAGTGAATTATGTTTGTCTGCTAGTGAGTGAGCTTGTATGTGTGTCAGTGAGCTTGTCTGTAGGGATCATGGGTGTGTGTTAGTGAGCTTGTCTGTAGGGATGCTTGCATGAGTTTGTCTGTGGTGAGCATGTGTGTGCAGTGAACTTGTCTGTAGTAAGCATGTGCGTGACCGTGAGCTTGTCTGTAGTGACCATGTGTGTGTCAGTGAGCTTGTCTGAAGTGAGCATGTGTGTGTCACTGGACTTGTCTGTAGGAAGAGTGTGTGCGCATCAGTGAGCTTGTCTGTAGTGAGCGTGTGTGTGACAGTGAGCTTGTCTGTAGTAAGCTTGTGTGTGTATCAGAGTTTGTCTGTACTAAGTTTGTGTGTCAGTGAGCTTGTGTTTTTATGTC